ATGGTTTGCTTTCTATCTTATTTACTATCCGTGATGACAGGCGGACACTGTAGCGACAGTGACATGGGTTGGATATGTTTAACTGATCAATTCTATTACAAATACAGTGTCGAGAACTGAACGTGAAAAATTCAATGCAGTGTGGAATTTACCAAAATTTGTAAATACCAATAGACCAGAAAGACAATATAATATTTCTGAAATATTTTTTTACAACAAGGGGCAAACAAGCATGCGGCTCACCTGATAGTAAGTGACTACCGCCACCCATGATCACCCACAACACCAACGCATTGCAGGTGTGCTGCCGGCCTTTTAAAAAGGAATGTGCTCTTTTCTTGAAGGTTATGATGTTTTTTTAAGCGATATCCAAATGGAGAAGATTTTCAATTCATCTATATTTTTCATAGATATGTCATTACGTCGTTACGTATGTATTTTGTCGGTTCCGACAATTCTTCCGACTTCATCCATAAGTCTTCTTCAGGGGCCGTCCATGCATGGCAAAACATGGTAAATTCGTTACTTTCCCGTATCATCATCATTAACTATTAACGGTAATATATATATATATATATATATATAGACATCGATTTCTTTTTTATGGGTGAAAATGGTATGGTAACCCCGCCTGCGTAAACGGGATACGCTGGCGGAGCACCAGTGAAGGGGGATAGATGAGAATGAAAACAGGCCAGTTAGCCCATCATGATGAATTCATCAGGAATTAACTATGATAGTTTCCAAGGGGAACCGTGAGGAAGTCGACCTGGTTGGGTATATTGCTAGCAATGGGATTCTCAGTCTCCATTACTAACAATCCCTTTCCCCCATAGACATCCATTTATAAAACGAACATAAGTTTTAAAAATAATAATAAGTATCACCGAATAAATTAATAAAAAAACAAATTAGTAAATGTCCCCTCAAAAAAAGATAACAAAAACCAAAAACACGGACACGTCAAGGTGACTGACTGGTTAAACATCGATTGTTCGCCAGCGCGTTTACTTTCACTTCTACCGTTCCTGGCCATCATACTACTGCACGTAGCTAGGTACTGACCTAACCACTCGAATATTTATTATACACAATAGGTAGCTACGTATACCATACTCAAAACGCGTGTTGAAATGGGTCATTCAATTTGGGCGACTCGATCCTACATACTCCGATAAATGTTGGAGAGCTTTCAAATTTATAGCACAACACTTTCTTCGTTGTATATTGAAAAACGTATCGAGGCCAGATATGTTTATGTTTGTGCAATGTGTAAAAACGACTGCATCGATTTCGTTGAAATTTCGATATCTTTTTATAGACAGCATACAATTTAACATGTGATCCGGCATAGAATGGGTCTTTTTCCTTTCCCATGGGTGTCGTAAGAGGTGACTATCTATCCCATTTAAGAGCTGCGCTCTTGTCGGTGGAGTTCTTGCTACTTACTACCTTTTTCTCTTCACTTCTTGATACGACACGACACCAACTCCTTCCTTGATCTGCCTGATGTAACTATGTCTCGGTCTCCCTCTTCCCCTCCTTCATTCTATCTTACCTTATATTACAATGTTGATAAATTGTCGTGTCGTATAAAGTGTCCTAACATATTTTCCCTTCTGAACTCAAGAACCGGTTAAGCTCGCTCCCATTACCAGACGGAGACTTTGTACAAAAGCCTCTGTTCCAATCGAGTTTCTCTCGTGATGCAGTCGTACTTGCATGGTTGTGGTTCAGTTTGAAGAGTGGGATACAGCAGTGAAATTACGAAGTACAGAGACATAAAACCATAGTCCTCGTGAATGGCAATGCATGAGGGAGGCCATAGGTATCAGTGTTTTCAGTGATATCTATGGTACTGTTCATGTTTATAGGCGGCGGTTACCGCTTTCCATCAGGTGGGCCGTTAGCTTGTTTCACATAATGAGTATCATAAAAAGGCCTGCTGGAATAACAGCCATTACTTTGCCCTCTTTCTTTAAACAATTGAGTAAGAAATAACTATCAATTAAAACAGCATAAAAGCAAACATTGATTATTTATCAGAGACAATAGGCATCTCGATTCTCTGTCATTAATTAATAAACCGTCAACTCTCAATAGCAGGTCAATAAACTCGTTACTTTGCGGTCCATTAGATACATTTTCATTATGCATTGTACTCCTCCAGATGACTCCATTTACATGTGTATGTACATGTAAATAATAACTCTATTTCGTACATACATTTTAAACACTGTGTTGACAGAGAAAAATATGATAGGGTCAATTGTGAGCCATTGTTCTTTATCTGGAATTTTATTTGATACTGCTGCAAAATTCTAAGTTTACACTGGATAAACAAAATTTATAATAGAATTCAGCCCGAATAAATTTACATTTAGTTCTTGATGGTCTAGCAAAACGATGATTTAATCAATGTTTTGCTTAACTATAAAATTTTAATTTTATAAATAAGTTATAGGTTACGGCACCTCAGAATTGATCTCGACACTTTTTCATCTCAAAAATGTTATCTACCAACTAAGGGAACAAAGCATAGTATGTCAGTATAGAAGAATGCAACTGATTATTATGGAGAGAAACCCATAATAACAATAACAAAGCAATAACATGCGAAAATCTTATCTGTTTATAATATTAGAGCAAAATATAAAATTGGTATGTAATTTTAAAAATTTTTAAATTTAAAAAATAAAAAAGAAAATAAAAAAGAAAATTAAAAAATATAGCTGCATAACTCCACCTTTAACAATGTGATTATGATTCATAAACAATTATTATGGTTAACTATTTAATTAGAATAATATATGTGTCACATACAGAAAAAGACAATTCTTGGAAATGTGATGAGAATTTATGAGAATAAATTACAAAACATTTTAAAAGGAAAACTGGCAGGTAAGCAACATTTCATATTTCAATTTTTAACCTATGCACATAAATCAATTAAAGTTATAAGCACGGAGGAAAGAATTGTTTGTAATGGAGTCTAGTGGTGCCATTGCTAGCAATATACCCTGCTGGAGGGAGAATGGATTGTTAGTAATGGAAATTAGCCATCCCATTGCTAACATTATTGTGTCCTATTTTGTCGGCCTTCACACACTTCCCCATGGAAACCATAGTGATTGATACATTTAATATTAGTTAAATTCATAACAATCGGCCAACTGACCTTCATCATCATCAGCCATTATCCCTCACTGGTGGGGTACCAATGTATACTGCTAGCGCAAGTGGGGTTACTATTCCATTATCATCCATTAAAAAAATATACCCTGCCAGTTTGTAATTCATTCTTGATAAATCTGTCATGATAGGCCCACTGATCTGAAGTCATCCTTGCCTATCATCTAATAGTACAAGAGAGATTACCATTTTATTTTCATCTATTTAAAAAATACCACTGTTAAGACAAAGTTATCTGTTAATTCTCCATAATATATTTAAAATCATTGCTCCATTTCATCAGTTCTATGACTCTGGTGATTAAAAACTGATTTATGTTTATTTGTGATCTTGATCTGTAAAAATGCTTCCCTGTTAGTAGATATTTTGTGCACTTTCATAGTATCCAGTTTATCTTACAATGAAGTTCACTTTTTAATAATAAAGAATTAGAGGGGAAAGGGATTGTTAGTAATGGAGATTGAGAATCCTATTGCTAGCAATATACCCAACCATGTTGACCTCCTCGCGGTTCTCCCCGGAAACTATCATGGTTAATTCCTGATGAATTCATCATGATGGGCTAACTGGCCTGTTTTCATTCTCATCTATTACCCTTCAGTGGTGCTCCGCCAGCGTAGCCCATTAGCGCAGGCGGGGTTACCATACCATTTTCACCCATAAAAAAAAATAATCATAATAATAAAGAATTTTAGCTTCACATGTATCATATGATTGGTTTTATATTTGAAGCTATGCAATAATATATTCTGTGCATTCCAATGCACATCCGTAGTCCACTATGATGAGAAAAAATCGAAGAATGAACTGATATTTTAGCAGTTTTTACTGTAGAAGCTTTTCAGACTCAAATTTTTGTAATCAATAAATTACAATTTAGTAATTTTTTATATTGATTTCCCCTTAAAGTTGGTTAGTTGAAACCCTGCTAGTGTTACCTGTTACATAATTCAGAGTAAAGCATATTAAAATTTTGAACCGTCCCTAAGGATATCCACTGACCAAATTATGTCCTCAATGAAAAACATTAATCAATGGATACCCTTAGGAAAATATATTAATATCTGCAAGTTTTCTTTAAACGAGTCAAGTTTCTTTTTCATTTATTTTTTTTATAAAGATGAGATGACATACTAATAACAGATGGAATACAAAATAAAAAATATTGTTTCATTAAATTAAGTATTTAATCTTAAAAGATTAAGCTTTTCAAAAAATTATAAGGGTCAATCTGTTGATAACTTGTCCATAAATATATTTTAAGGTGATTAACTGACTTACGGAAGTACTGAGCATTGGATTAGTACACAAAAATTACAGTAACTGATAGCTGTATAGATAACAACACCATGGACACGACAGATTAGCTGCTGGCCGTTGGTGCCTTGAAAAAAAGCACGGTGTATTTTATAAAAAAAAAAAAATCTAATAAGAATCAACTATGAAGAACATATTATGATTTTTGTCTGTATATAATTTCTATTTCCATACAGTTTTCATTCAATTGTATTAATTAAATAATTTTTCTGTTACATTTTACAATCAATTCGGACAATTGTCTGTTAATAAATTCCTTCACAAGGCTACAAAACATGTAAACCTCGAAGCAAACAGCCGGCGAACCTAATATAGTCATTTCTCAATACTATCCACCAGTCCCACCTATGTGCACCCAATCCGCCGATGACATAATCATCAATAAACTAAAGAAAACGTGTACACTAAACAATAATCAGAAGTTTTGGTGTTTGACACCTACACCGAGCGCGATTTTGCATCTATTTATACAACGCAAGCGAAACACTCACCTGTTGTGCCACCGGCTCTAATATGCTCTCGATAATTTTCGTATGAAACACCGGCATTTTGGAGATAACACCAATGATCTAGCACCAAATTACATGAGATAATCAACACAAATAAATAACAAACGTTCGCACGTATAACACAAATTAAACAGAACACAAGCAACAAACACAAGACACAGAAAAATACTGACTGAATGAATGATGTAAATAATGAATCACAAAAAACATCAAGGAATGTAATCACTAATCGCTCACCACATTATCCGAGAGTTAGCACTATTATTATATAGAAAGAACTGAAAAATTATTCTATGTAACCACCAATAAATATTAATAATAAAAAAGAACTTCCATAATGATTTTGTAACTATCTGTAATATAACTCTATCCAAAATATATAAATCGATATCGAATCATTAAACAATAAGCTACTTTGTGGTATATAGATTTCAAATTCATTAAAATGGTTGCATTGACAACATGTAATCTTTTTTATCTCAAGTGGCGCAAGCCTAACGATTGAACACGAATGAATGAATGAACTGTCATATCAAATGTTGAAATTATTTCGACAAACTGTCAAATTCAATGTTGCCAACTGCAATTAGATTTTCGGGCTAATTAAATTAAAAAAGACCTAGTATTTTTAAGAAGTTTTAATAAAAAATTAATAATACTCAGCATCAGTGTAATCGAGACTAATTCGCCAGGAATTAGCCACGATGGTTTCCAGGGGAAATGACATTAAGATTGACCTATATATTGATCCCCATTAGTGACACTTTCCCCTGGTACTATTGCAAATCACGGATACTCATGTACTATGCCCTCTGCTAATTCTATACCCAGTCTGGTTTGTTGAATTGCACGCCAAAAAATTACTTTAAATGCAGATACATTCCTTTATTATTCTACTGTATGTATGTTCTGTCTGTTTGTATTGTAATTTGTGTGCTGTAAGTAATGTAAATAAATTATCTATTTATCTATCTCTGTTCTGTGTCATTCAATCAAAGCAAACAAATAAAACAAATCGCATTTTGTTATAAATTTAATAGCTTATTTTTAGGTAATAAATACTTATGAACTATCAAGTCTTCAAATTACGTGCAAATAGACATATAAATAATATCTGGACAACGGAAAATAATAAAATATCTCTAAACACAGGCAGTTTTACATAATAAAAAATCGAATGCACTATCTACAGAGTATTTTAAACATTGATAACTAAAACAATTGAACACTGGAAAATTAACAACTAATTGATAACTTCGACTAAAAATATCACATAGGGTAGTTTAGTAGGTACATGTATATGTAAGAAATTTATTGTGTTTTATGAACTTTATTGACAAAAGGCATCATAAAAATTAATAAGTTGTAAAGAACCTTCTAATCTTACCCTATTTTACTCAGGGTAGATTGTATGGTGCGTAATTACCAGCTACATTCCAACTAATCATCAATTTTCTTTTTTATAATATTATGGCAACCCTGTCTTTTTATTAGGCGCAATTACCGCGAAAATTGCTGGTAGATTAATGCTTTTTGAGGCGCAATGATAACCGTCGTCTATAGGCGTGAAAAATGGACGGACGGTACAGATTAATGCTATGATTCTTTTGATAGACTTTGTACAAAAGTCGATAACCGTCTGTCCCATCGTGTTTCAACCGTGAAGCAGTTGTGTTTGCACCATGGACAGGAATGGACGGTATCATGGGCGAAACAGTATACTGTTATGATGGTACTGCTCATGTCTAGTTACCACTTTCCATCAGGTGGGCCGTCCTTGTTTGCCATTCTGATTCTTGAGAAACGGACCTCATGGATTACTGCGAACAAAGTTTCACTCAAACAAATATTTTATTCGTGTTACTGGTCCCTAGAAATTCTGTTTCTAGTAATTCAATCTAGGTTGGAATGAAATTTCGAAATCATCATCAATTAGAGGTAGCTATCTATCATGTCGTCATCAAAGTTAAATAAATATATCAGACAATTATATTCAACCACTGGAATCTATCGTAGGATATGATGTGTCAGCAATTAATTTGAATTGACAAAATACTTGAAAACACCTACAATAATTAAGTAACAATGTAACAAATGCAACACGTGCGTCAGACTAAAACTTCTCGTGCACGATACAAGTTTCGTTCAGGACAATTTAAATTGTAGAACAAACACTACACTTCGGAAAAATTAAGAACAAGTTTCATTTTTGTATACAGGTGAAATCAGAATCATTGGATTTCTTTTAAAGGAGTATTCGTCCAGTGACACTGGACATTTTTGCTGTATAAACATAGGTCAAAAAATAATAATAAAAAAACTTAAAACTTCCCATACAACTTGACTCGATTTGGATATTGATATTTTATGTCATATCTATTTTGTGCTCAAATCATTTTTTTGGCTACTTCCCTATTTGAGATCAGCCCTCCTAATACATTTACGTTATTCTTGCCAGTTCTGTGTCATTTTATTTATTTGACAAATGTTTGTAAGTTTTAATTATATTGATTTCATTTATATAGTTACCATTCATTTAAAATCATGTTCTCAAGTATTTTTTCTCGAAAATTATTAATTTACGGAAAAAACATGTTGTTGGAAATCTGTTAGGACAAGTCCCATTTATTATATTACCTACCTATCTAACATTTTTAATTGCAACACATAAAAGTCCATTCTAAAATCTACCACTACCATTCGCTTAAGTTTTCCGAAATGTAGTCCGTTAGTTCACCATAATAATTATTAATTTCACTATACAAATTCGATGTTTTAATTAAGTAACAATTGAAATAGTTGACCACTTTATACATACGTTTTTACATTAAGAGACCCGTGAGCGAACTTGTCGTTGAAAACGTTACAGCTAACTTTAAAAACATTCATAATTTGTTCTCTAACAATTTTCTTAACTTCGTATAATTATCTATTATTACATTTACACCTTTTTCTATCTTAAAATCTAATATTCCTTAAATTCCTGATGACCGACGATTGTAAAATAGTGCTATTTCCTTTTAACTAAAATTAATATTGTGAAGAAATATAATTTATTTTTCCGCCATATAATATTCAAAATAAGTATTCATTGAAGGATGAAAAGATAAAATTTATTTTTAGGAACGTTATATGTAAGAAATCAACATCTTAGTTGGAAATATTATCAATAAATATTGTACATAGGCCGCGATAAAGAAACCTAAGAAGGTTCTGGTATTCTGACTATGTACCATCATCATTTCAACCTAGTCCTTATCAAATGCTGAACATAGATTTCCCGCATATTTCGCGAAAAATTATCCATGCTTGCATCTATCAACCTCCTGGTAATATTTTTCACGCTGTCACATTCTCAAGCCATGTATGTAGCCGGACTCTAGTAATTCCAGGCAATTATAACGAATACCAGGATATTAATCATTCGTATGATGGTCAGAAAAGTATCAAATAGGTATAACAATCCTAATAAAGGCTTCAAAATTGTTTAGACCAAGTTCGATTCAAGGAAATTGACCTAAAACCTTACAAATACTCAACTATATCGCACTTAATCGATATATTGGGACAGCTGACACCGTAGCTGAGATTCAAACCGTGCGGCTGACTCTTGTGCCTCTCCGTTAGAAGTTTATGGAAGATGGGTAAGATGGCGCACTCGAATAGTTCCGACTCTGAACTGGCGGTGTACATCTTGCGCTGCTCCACGGATTCCTGCCGCTTGGAATCGCTGCGGCTGTATGTCGCTGATTTGCGGTCCTCTCGCTTGTTTGGTGAACCTGATCACGGATATGAATGAGATCTCAAAATTACAATTGTACAATGTTATATTAAAATGTTTGACTTCTCCTGAACTTTGCCTATCTTTACACATACGAAGAAAGGTACTCAAACTATATCCATATTCGTCGCAATTTCAAAGAACTATGTACATATATCACAGTAGCTTCTAATGTCACTGCCATATCTTATCCTTGCAGATTATTTTAGAAAAATCTCCGTATAAATAGAACACTAAAATCTAAAATTTAATAACAATAATTATTTTTCGGATAATTCCTGATGATATTCCAGAAACATTTACCTGATTTATGTCTAGAAGCTACGTTAGGACTGCTCTTGTGATGGTCAGGCCTCGGTTGGTGAGATGCTTGCGTCAAACGCGGCGAATCACCGACACCCTTCGCCCTTTTAAGGGGTTCCGCTTCTTGACGTAACCTTTTGGCTGGCGAGTCTTGGCCCTTTGACACTCTGATCGTATCAGGATCTGGTCTCCAGGACTCTTCTTGCTGAACCTCTTGAACAGGTTTCCGAGGTATGTCGTCATGTCTTCGAGGTTTCTGTTCAGGTTTTTCCGTTACCCTATCGTGTTCTGTTTCTTGCATTGGTCGCACCTAAAAAAAAAACGCAAATAAATTGATATCTGTTTATTTTATTAATTGGTCTACGTCTACTTCTGAACATTCATCCAATTTAGAATTAATGAATGGAAAAAAACGAACAACTACAATATATTGTATGATTGACCTCATTTTAATTATATGACTTATATTGACCTAAAAAATAAGACAAGTTTAAGATATTAAATCAAATTATTTCCTTTTAACAGAGATCATTATCATTATATCAGTCATTAGCTGTCCACTGCTGAACATAGACCTCCCCCATGAGGGGGTTTTGCCAGTAGTTGCTACGCTTGGTAGGTGGGTTGGCAAGCGCAGTTAGGCTTTGATAATGTTTTAAAAGAGATACTACTGTCTATCCCTCGATCATTAAGTCCCCTGAGTCGCCTTTTATTAAACCCACAGAAAAGAAAGGGGTGGCCCATTCTATTGCCGAGATCATACAGCCATTTTTACAGTGATATTAGTGAAGTATTACTAACCTGAGCGGACGATTGTCTTCTTTTAGTTTGGTTCTGATGCGGCGGTGTGCTCACAGGCTGAGGGAACTCTGATCCTCGCCGCTGCTAAGACAAATTCAATATTATCAACTTTTAATAATAAATAATCAAACTTACTGATATTGATGCAAAATTAATCTTTACCTTAGACAGCCGATCAGTCATTCTTAATGTTTCCGCCTCCCGATAACCCTCAGGAGTACCTCCTCTTGTTGTACCAGCTGAAATGGTCATTTGAAAATTAAAATCATTGCCTTAATTTGTTTATTAAACCACTAATGAACTCAATCTTACCATAATTTATAGAGGCATTTGATGCTCTTCTCTCTATGCTCTTAGTATCTGGATCTCTGTGAATGAACAATAAATCATATTAAATACGAAATTTTCTAAATAAACATTTGGCTGTCACAATTCTAGCTCGATTCTACCATGAACCATTTATAAACATCTTCAAATGGATTATCAGGCATTATTCAGTATATTTGCAAATATCCTAACATACTCGTTTTATAGTAGATACCTATCAAGTATTACGACACACCCTCAACGGCGATCGGATCGGACCACCTAGCATGACGCAAGAAGGTGCGCTACCGAGAAAGACACCTGCGTCGAGTCAGCATTTCAATTTCCACAGCAAAAATATCCATTTCCTTTATGTTTGATTTTATATAACTTCACTTACGGATCACACATCGATCTCAAGACACTTATTATTGTAATAATTAATTTTAGAATTAAATTTAGTTATATTTATAAAATTGTTTTTTTTTTGGTCTTCCGCCAGCGACTTCAATAACTCTCGTATAAACTTTTGCATTATTTTAAAATAGTTAACAGTAAGAGTCATATTTACCTCTGGTGATGAGGAGACGACTGCTGTCGACTTTTTTCGGACACACTTCGTTGCATTGGAGAATGGTGGTGACCTGCAGAGAATAATAGATTTATAATCATTACTACCATGCATATGGTTGCATTCTTAAAGTACTACTATTCATAAGAATTAGGAATACAAATTCTAAAAAAACTGTAAATAATTACCAGGTGGTGATTTCTGACAAGTGTACTGGAAAGTATTGGTGTCCCAAAGATCGCTCTGCACCACTATAAAGTTCTCTTTTTTTCTTTTCTCCGAATCTCGTCTTTGACCTAAATTGGATAAAAAATTTACTATCACTACACAATAATAGAATATTATCAAATTACCAAAAAAATAATTCTCGATTGTTTTTGATTCCAGTAACTACAAGGGACAGATAAAGGAAACACTGGGTGTCATGTCGTATAGAGAGATCAAAGATATGGCCTGGGATAGAGCTGTCTGGGAGAAAATGCATGCGTTAGTTGCACCGACAAGAGAAATCTCTTAAATGAAAAAAGAGAGAAAGAGATTGTTCCTCATCATAGGCTTTATATTTATGATATGCGATTCTGTCTGTGCCAAATAATTCATTTCTACCCGACAGAAGTAAACAAAAAACAAGATGTGGTAAAAACCAAACATTGTTTTATCTACCAGGCAAACCTAGGATGATCATTGATTCTCTATACATATATCTTCTTCAGCTACTATTCTGATATTGTATTTGTCCTCCTCAGGCTTATCAAAAAGTAAACTTACATGCTTTTCTTCTCTCCATTGATGAATAATCGTGATCTATGTCTAATATGTCTTCTGGTTCTTGTTTCGACTTCGACGGTGGTGGATCTCTTTCTTGTCCTGAAATTTTGATAGAAACCCAGTTTGAGGATTTGGTACTCTACTGATCTCATAAGAGAAGAAAGACCAAATTCTAACAAATAGCTCCACTTGAGATGTGATATTTATTTATTATATAGAAATAATCCCTATTCATTATATACAATAAATATGTACGAACCTATAACTTTTCTCTCCATCCCTGGAGGTGGTTCAATATCATCTTGGTCTACGGAGACGTGCATCAAATCAGTGAGTAGCGCTCCTTGGCTCAGGCTGGACATACGGCGATGGCCGCGTGACTGCACCTTGTGGTCTCGAGACGGTGTAGTCTTTGTCGATATAGATTCCTGGCTCTTCACAACCTTTTTTTGAAGCTCTGGTGTCTGGAAATGAATTGATTTGAATAATAACTAATAGAGAAGTCAAAGAGATTACCTAGTTGTTAATCTTTAAGAATCATACTTTAGTGTTAATTAATTATTTTAAAGAATAAACGTAAACTTATAGAATATACGAAAAACAATCTCATCATATTTGCATTGTGCATTGCTAAATATTAGTCCTCTCTTATAGACTGCTACAAGAACTCCCTATTAAAGTATAGTATAGGCTAAGAAAGAGGAATATTTTCCGAGTAACAATGGATGTAGATGGATTAGGACTGTTCCTGAGGCACCTCGAATTCATTAACACCCTGTCATTATATTTGAGGTCGTGACTCCATATTGTAAAGGTTGCTCTATATACCTTTGCCTAGAAAAAGATTGTAAGTACATATATTGATTTGCAATATCATTTGTTATCAAACCTTATTAATCTTTGGTGTAGCCGCTTTCGTATACATCGGCTCTTGTATCTTGGCGGGCACTGATTTAGCGGTGGGAGTGTCACTAAGCTTCAATGCTGTTATGGTTTTCGCTTCAGCTTTTGCTGGTTCTGGTTGCACCTTTGCTACTGCTTTAGGCGTCGGTTCTGAGGGCTCCTGTAAAATCAGTAATGAATTTTGTTTTTAGTTCTTAATAAGCGGATTTCTTGCTGGACAGCAAGAAATCTTTGAAAAAACTTTTTCAAATATGCTTGATTTATTTCAATTTGATTAGAACTTTATCATCTAAATGATATCTGTCAAGGACCTTAAGTTCTAAATTTAAAGACATTTGTTCTTTGTTTAATATTATAATGTGTTTTGTAGCTTCAAAAGTGAAGAAACTAGATTTTGTAGCTTCAAAGATGGATTTTTATTTATTTATTATAGTCTATTAAGTATATTCTAAAGAAAAAGTACCTCAGCAGTCCAGCCATATGGCAGTTTCGCAAGTTGATCCTTTTCAGGGACTGCTTTCGAAGCTGGAGGGCTAGTATAGTCAAGGTGATTCTTAAAAGAGACATTCTTCGTCTGCTCTTTTTTGGATTCCTTTGACGGAACCTCCTTGATTGGCTCCGGTGGCGCTGATGGTTTTATTCTAGAAATATTGTTAAAATGTTGCTTAAGTATAATTACATCTAGAATTATTAAAGACGTTTTGTCAAGAGAGATGAAAGAAAGAAATATTATTTGCATATCTTTTCTTTTAATGTCGAAAACAAACAATATGTTCTTTTTTATTTAAGAATTCCCCTTGTGGAGGCAATAAGCCAGCTCCATTCTAGGCCATACCTTTGAGATCAAAGGCTAGGTGGCATATCATATAGGGAGGTCACTATACGTACGTAGTCTTTTCTTTATTTGACCCCATGTAGTAAACAATAACAAAGTACAGGTCGTTGCCGATTTTGGATACTTCTTCCAAGGAATCATCCCCACTTACTGCAGTAATACAATGTAAAAACGATATGATATTATCCAAATATCCAGGCCCTTACCAAATCGGGCAGCTCCAATATTCAAGAATAGAGAAAAAATGACTGTTAGTAATGGAGTTTAACTCTCCCGTTCCTAGCAATATACCCTATCAAGTTGATCTCCACGCGGTTTTCTCTGAAAACCATTGTTGTTAGTTGTTGTAAAACTAATCATGATAGGTTAATTTCATCTCATCTCGCCTAACTGGTCCTCGCCAGGTGGGGAAGTGACTGTTAGAAATGCGGACTACCAGTCCCATTGCTAGCAATATACCCTGTCAGGTCGACACTCCACGGGCTCCCCTTGGAAACCATGGTGCTGAATTACAAGTGGCTTTATTACGATGGGCTAACTGATCTGCTTTTTCATTCTCATCTATCATCAATCACTGGTGCTCTGCCAGCGTATACCGTTAGCGCAGGTGGAGTTACCATACCATTATCATTCATAAATAACAACTGGTCCTTGTTAAAATATACTAATAGTGCAGGCGGGGTAACCATTCCATTTTTATCCCTAAACAGATAAATCAAAAAGGGTTCTGCTGTCATCCTGATGCCTAACACTATCATGGAAATTAACTAGGTTATTGCATTTTTGATAATATATATAATAGAATGCATAAAGTAGTTACTCACTTCTCCGCAGACTGCTGATTTTGTAAATTGATGTATTCTGCTTCGGCACCGGCGGAGGCACTTAGACTGCACACCGATGTTATGTCGCTTGTTTCTGAAAAGTGAAAGGTAATTATAAACTTTTATAACTTTCCCCCCATTTTTAAAAGGTTAAACAATAAGACTTGCTTATTGCCCTGATCAACACGAATAAAACATAAATTTAAATTATAAACAGTAAAAGCTACCTTTGGGGGCTTGACTGATAGAAGCTTTACCTGGATGACAATAATTTTATTTCTGCTTTTTTCATGAATTATGAATGAAATCATTGTTTGTATGATTTTTAAGAGGTTTTTTTTAGGAACAGGCTGAGAATCCCATTGGCTAGTCTCGTTCTCTGCGTGGCTGGCGAGCAGGGAGAAACTATCATAGTTAATTCCTGATGAATTCATCATGATGGGCTAACTGGCCTGTTTTCATTCTCATCTTCACTGGTGCTGTCGATTCCGATTCAGAACCGGCGTCATGCCCAGTTTACTTAACAGCATCTGCATGTTTATCATTTAATCAGGATTTGGAGACGCACTAAGTTAATTCCTAGAAATAGCAACGCCTGGTCTATACCATATGTTGCTATTTCTAAAAACTAAGTTGTTATGCTTATTCTGCTGTGGCTGTGTTTGAACAGTAGAATAGGGCTGTAAAATTATAGCATTCAGAAGCACAACACAGGCTTTAGGAATGACAACGGATAAGGGGTACGTACTACGTGCATGTCTATTCATATCTGTAGGCAACGGTTATCACTTTTCGTCACGTGGACTGTTTGCTTTTAGGACATTTCAAGATACACACGGATCACAAAAGAGTTGTGGATAGAATACGCAAAAGTTCCAACAGAGTCCGAAACGTTCATAGCACTCTTTACTTTTAGTAGGTACTTACTTACAAAGTGATTTCAGATTTACACAATAGGATTCCAGCAAGGAATAAAAATCGAAATAAAGTTAATATGAGACCAAATTTGGGAATAATTGCAAAAATAATCATTAAAATATAGTCAAATCGAGAATGTCCTTTTTGTAGTCGTAAAATACATATGTGAGTAGGGGGGAAAGTGATTGTTAGTAATGGAGACTAAGAATCTCATTGCTAGCAATATACCCAACCAGGTCGACCTCCTCGCGGTTCCCCCTGGAAACTATCATGGTTAATTCCTGATGAATTCATCATGATGTGCTAACTAGCCTGTTTTCATTCTCATCTATCACCCTTCACTGGTGCACCGCCAGCGTATCCCGTTAGCGCAGGCGGGGATACCATTCCATTTTCACCCATCAAAAAAAAATACATATGTGAGTATGTCAAATTCAAATCATCTTTATTCAAATAGACTTGTTTATAAGCACTTTTGAATCGTCATTTTTGTTAATCTACTGCAGGGTTCGGATGGTTGTTATCTTTTGAGAAGAGCCAGCAAGAAACTCAACAGTTACTCTTTTAAATTTTCGTTAACATTATGTGTATTTATGTAAATGTCATCATCATATCAGCCTGTAACTCTCCACTGCTGCCATAAGGAACTGAACCCCTTGGGGCGTTTTACCAGTAGTTGCCACGCCTGGCAGGCGAATTGGCAACCGCAGTCAGGCTTTAGAGATGCTTTAAGAGGGACGCTGCTGCCCATCCCTCGTCCTCCCTTAGTCGGCTCTTACGACACCCACGGGGTAGGAAGGGGTGGCGTATTGTATGCCGGGAGCACAGGGCCGTTTCAACGACAGGGCGGTGGCGGCACCTGCAGCTCGTTCTCCTTGGCCTGCAGCGTGCGGCGGTAGCGGTTGTTGTACTGGCGCAGCTCGCGCAGGCGGCGCTCCAGCTCGGGCCCGGGCGAGCGGCACTCGTGCGTGGACGCGGGCCGCAGCGTGGCGCGGATGCGCGCCGGCGCCGCGCCCGGCTGCCCGTTGCGGCGCAGCTCCAGCAGCTGCCGGTGCAACAACGCAACCGACTTACTTCTTATACGTGTATATCAATACGCAAATGTCTTACAAACATTAAACGATTACTTACTTCGTTTTTACTTAACTTGCTATATAGTATTAAGTCCGTCTTTTGTACCAGACATTTTTTTATAATATGGTTAATAAAGAATGAATAAATAAATAACTTTTAATATGTAATAATAATCTCAATTACATAAAATTGAATCTTAATTTTATTTTCGCTTTTTTAATATAAATATTTGCATACCTACATTGTTTAAGGTAATTAAACAGATGCCAAAATGGACTACGTGGCTTTTTTTAATAATATTAAGACTGTTTAATACAAATAAACTCATTTCATTTCTATTAATAATTTTTGTATACCAATCTCTTCAAGAAACATCTATTATTTACGAGTATATTCAACCCATAAATTTGCTGTCGTTAATTAACATAAAAACCATACTATATTTTAATCCAATATATTCTCCATCTACCTATATATTGACCATCCAAATCCATTCAAACTAAGACTGATTGAGCAAACAAAATCTAAGCACCCTTACAAATGATCATTATTTCATAGTTTAAAAACTTAGCGTAAGATAGAGAAACTTACTTTAGGAACAAACACCAAACACAGGGTTGCTGTCGTGCAAAATATGATGAAAATGGCGATCAGGACGAACAGCGCGTCTTTATGGTCAGACAGCACCTGCAACAGTACGCATAAACAGTGGCATTAGTTTGACAAATAAAAAATTTAATATACCATGAGCATACCAGCTTTATAGGTCATACAATTATATGTAAATATGTACATCATACGTCTTCAAAAAAAGACCTGAAGAGTTTTTAAAATTGGTAACGCCCATGCCTTGTGTTCTTATTCGAGAAATAATGCCTTGTAGGAAATATAATATATTTCTGTAATTTATCAAGTGATCGCTCAAGTAATGTGTTTTCATTGTTAAAACGAAATTGAGAAAAAGACAAAAGTAGGTCCCCCTATTATAATATCAGTAATTTATCGGATCGTCAAGTAATGTGTTTTCATTGTTAAAACGAAATTGAAAGTTCCCCCTCAGCGGGCCTAGGCGCGCAGTGAGACTCGCGTCACAGCCGCTCAAATTTAAGGGTCTTGAATGGTCTCGTAACTAGTCGAGCTTTCTCGATTAAATCACACGTAAGTTAAACCGGTAGTTATTGTATTAAAATATAATGTATTTCCATTTTATTAACAATCAAACTTGATTGCTTGTATTTCATTTCGGTGGTATATAAAAAGCTACATTTTTTAATAATTTCATATCGATTATGTTCCCTATAAAACAAAATTAAAATAAGATTTGATAACATCCTAAGTTTTCAAGTCTTAACGTACTCTCTACAGCAAAGGGCTGGAAGGACGGTAACCGTGGCGATCCGCAGTTGGTGTGTGAAGGATTTGGCCGGTGTGTAAAACCAATTTTTTTACGTAGATAGAAAAGATCATGGAAAGGTAGCAGTGTCACAGATTTTTCTACCTGAAAAAGACCGTCTTTCATTAATAATAATAGATAGAAAATATTAATTTAAAAATGGTACATACGAGTGCTATAGCAGCGCCCATGATGCACATGATGAGGACGTTGTAGACCGAGAGGCCTATGTGCTTCGAGTCGTTCAACGCCGGTATAGACACGTGGCGGGTCTCCCACGCGAGAAATGCTCCGAACACCTGGAAGTCAGAAACTCACATTATATTATAGTACGTAAAGACCAATACAATTTTTTTTTTATGCAACTTAGGCAAACAAACTGACTCACCTGATGTAAAGAGATAACCGTCGCCTATAGACATGAACAGTACCATGGATATAACAGAGGATACTGTTTCGCTCATGATACCCTTCTAGTGTGGCCATTCCTGAGGACTCAGATGTTATTCCTCTGTACCTTGACTAACCCTAAATCAATGGCTTAATTAGTAACAGGAAACACACGAGAGGCGAAAGCTAGATGTACAAAATTACATCATGTCTTAAAAAACATACTTTTAACGGGGGGAAAGAGATGATCAGCAATGGGGTCTGACTGACTCATTGCTAGCAATACAGGGTGTATTGCTGTCGACCTCCACGCTGTTCCCCTTAGAAACCATCGTGGTTAATTCTAGTGAAATTCGTCACGATGGGCTTACTGAACTGCTTTCATCGTCACCTATCAACCCTCACTGGTGCTCCACCAGCATATCACCCATTAAAAAAAAAAAAACAAAAAAACCTACTTTTAAGACAATAAACACACGTACTGAGTATATTCCAATATTTACATACCAAAAGGAGACCTTTGTATGCGTAAATGATGCCGATGAATATAGTCATCCGCTCTGACTGGCAGTACTCGTTCTCTTGCACTATTACTATGTCCTCACTCGACGGATGGGGCTGCCAAGTAAAAAAAATTGTATTAATTCCATTAGAAGAGACTTGTCTCTTGGGTGACACTATAACTCTCTTATTATTTCTATCACCAGTATTTTTTTTTATACAACTTAGAATGGCAAACAAGCTGACGGCCCACCTGATGGACAGTGGTAACCGTCGCCTATAGGCATGAGCAGTACCATGGAAATAACAGAGTATACTGTTTCGCTCATGATACCCCCCATACGCTGCCATTCCTGAGAACTCATGTGTTATTCCTCTGTACCCTGGAAATTCACGCCATATCCCACCCTTCAAACCGAAACACAACCATGCAAACACAACAGCTTTACGGTTGAAACACGAATAGGACAGAGGTACCCAAGCAAACGACTTTTGTACAAAGTCTCCCTCTGGTATTCACTAAGTAGCATCATTGTATGCTGTATTTGATATATGGTAATGCAATTAGGGAGTAATATGACTCAAAATTTATTGTCATAAGGACTGGCAAATAATGATTGATAAATTCATAAGTTTTAAAATCCACACAAAAAATTACAAATATAAACGTAAACATAGTGGGTATTACAAATGTAACGCATGTTTAGTAATATTTACATAAGGTTCCATTTGTTTCGTGGCTCTGTAAAACGGATCGGAGATCTGCCAAGTGGTCATGATCGCCAAATCTACACAGAGCAGTACTCCAACCACCATGAAGAGCTGATAATCTTTTATCACCTGCAATAGTAAAAAATATAGTATTTATATGAAATGGTAAACAATCAATAAATCAACAAGGACATCTCATGCCCGCCAGATGATGTGTGGGCGGGCGAGGTAGGGACCTCGGGGTATACCCCCGGCTTCAACTCCGGAGGCGACAACCTCCAGGTCGCTGGGTTCTTCAGTCGGTATACACTGATGGTCTGTGTATGTCGACGTGGTGGTACACAAACCGACAAAACTCAACACGATTAAAGCTGCTTACGACTATAACGATACCCTTAAGGTAATCAGAGGCATTTATTATCATCATCACTATAAAAAATATCTATATGAAATACAAACCTTCTTATTTAGCTTGACGTCAGTAAAGATGGAATGTACACGCCAAGTTTTGGAGAACATGGCACCGAACGCGAGGCTGAAGCCGGCCATCAGCAGCCAGGCTCTAGCAGTGCAGATGTATGGAAACGCAGCTGCAAGTACATTAATTCGAATAATGAATTTTTATACAAAAGAAACTTATATGGACGGGTTTGAGTGTATCATACATTTCAGTGTGTACATTCAGGAATTCAATCGGTAAATTAGGTTTGTGCGATTTATTTAAAATGTCTTTTGAATAGTAGTTCATTATTAATAGGTTTAGGTTTATAGATAAATTTTAAAGAATGTGATTTAAATCATGCTTAGCAATGCCATTAGCCAAAATTTAAAATCAAGTCACGATGCGGCGAAACTTAGGACTTTCAAATAAGAAATGCAAATAAGAACGACGATAAAGGCTATCCGAAATAGTTAAGTTGAAATGACGAAGGATAATATACAAAAAAAAAAAAATATTAAGCCACAAGTCCAAAGCATTTGATATGATAAAGCTATTCAAAAACATGAAACCTTCACATACCACCCACCGACAAAAGCTTCGCGGTTGAAGCTAAAGGAAAAACAAACCAAAACTTGGAAACATGCTGCCGACTCCTGTGACCTAGAAAATGACCTAGGTCTTTCTCAGAATAAGAGATCTAATCTAACAGACAGGGGGTATAAAAAGTTCCCAAAATTTGGTTAATAGGATCCACATTGCCCAGGGTTGAAGCTCAAGCTTTGGGGATGGGATCAAGCTCTTTTACCTCCTCGTAGTGTTTCCTGAGAAAGACCTAAGAATCAATGAATTTGATGAAATCAAATGACGATATAGCGTGACTGATGAAGTGCTAGCGTCATGCCAATTTATGTGCTTTATTATTTTAAATTTAGTTTTTGCTTTTAGTCGCCACTTTAACGACTATAATGAATTTGATGGCTGAATAATAACTGGTTGTCTTGGTGAAGTAAAAGAATGAGAGATGAATAAATGTTACCTTCGATCCAATATTAGGTAAAGAGACCATAAAGATATTGATGATAATATAATGATATAATGCGATAAATAGGATCGATAGTAGACACAAAAAGATGCTATTTATGAGATACTGGATGAGGTACATACCTATACTGCTGAGACTGGAGTCCAGGCCGAGGAAGATCACGCTCAGGTATGTAAGCATACAACCCACGATGATCAGATTGTTCAAATGCGGTGACGACATTTTTATATACCTTGAAAATTTGTAGAAGTTAGTTAAATACATTATTTAGTAAAAACAATAGATACTACAACAAATTTATTATACTATAATTGTGACCAAGTTAAATTTTTAATGTACCTGATAGAATATGGTCTGATGGAAAAAAACTCTTATATAGAACGAGTATGGCAGTTGCAAAAGAATCGATTGTAACTCTACCAACCTCTGATTCCTGTAATGTATGTTCATAGCAAGAAAACCAGTAGCAAGCAGTATGCCCAGGATGGAGCACGAGACCAGCACCGAATAGATGGTGATATTCACTTGCGTGTGCTCTATTAACCGTAGAGTGCGATCTTTAGGTGGATTCCTGCAAAATAATATAATGGCAGCTATTATATTTAAAGATTAATATATGTATATATTATGTGAGTTTAGCGGAGTACAAATAAAATCTTATTTATCCATTTTTCTTTATTTCAGTCAAGGAGAGCCGAGTGCAGAATTTTTACTTCCTCTTGCTTCATCTACTATCTTACTTACTACTACTTTTGTACTTCATATCGGTTTTTGATTGTAATATCTCGTCTCTTTTAGACAGTCGCAACTTTTTATTGGGTTAATCGTTAGTTTTTGTATCATTTCATGTTGGTTAATAAAAAACATGTTTCGAAGACAGTTCATTTTTATTGGAGGAAGACTGTAAAAATATTGTTAGTAGTATGGATAACTAAAGATCTTCATATCTCAAAAGTCGGCTATGCTTAAACAATGCCGCTAATGCAGCAAGCATACATTCTCAAAGAGGCCATATACTTCATTATTACTTCTCTTCATTTATGTTTCGAATTGCATATACTCGGAATTTGGAAAAATATGTATTCGACTATTCGATTCGAAATATAAGTATATAAAGATGTAATTTATCTTTCCTTTCACAAACCAAAGCATATTGCCCACTTACTTCCCAATCCATTTAAACGGCTCCCAGCTACCGAGATCGAGGTGATCCCTTTCGGCACAGTACTCCCCCACCTTCACCTCCCCTACCTCATCGCCTTGAAATTGCTTCAGCAAGATTGAGGCTTTTCGCTCGTTGTCGTAGAACCGCACTGGGCCCTACCAACATAGTACAATATGAAAGTCTTGAAATAAAATGAAAAATAGTTTTAGAAGATAGGATAGCACTTAATTTTATTCTTGGGTTTCTTGGGTATTTATATGCATATTTTGTTGCTATTTGGGACAGCAATGTAGGACAGCATCGTTCAAGATATTAGTGACGAAATGAAATATATTGTTAGTAAAATACTGACCGTGACTCCTTCAAAGGTCACGTTGCTGAGTGCGTCGAGAAACAGCTGCTCCCATTCTTTGTCCCTGTACTTGAAGTCCTGCACCGTCTTCTCCTTGTACCTGAGCTTCACTCGTTGTGCCACTGTCTGTATCGCAAGCGCCATTGCCCAAATACCTATAAAAGATTTCTATCTTGAATAAAGGATTACGAGCATTATAAAAACTTACAAAATATAATTTATGAGCTAGTTTTCGAGTACTTACCAAAATACTGCAGATAGAGATAATTTTGAAATATCTAATTCATAAAAAACAGGACCACACTTACTATCCTAAATCTATGGTCTAATAAATAAATGAAGTAATAATCAAACAGTAAGATAAAATAAAAAAAGTAACGATTAAAAAGAGTTTGTAAACATATCTACGACATATCTATCTGTCAACAATAATCATAACTAATAATAACTTACCATCATAAGTATATCCGTGAAATCGAGAATACTCAATTCCCCGTCTTCTGTCGTACTCCACTTGATAATCTTTTGCGGACTGAAAAGATAAATTAATAATTTAAAATACATTATTCTATAATATATTGACGATAAACAATAGAAAACTAATACTCACTATCCCAGACACAGTTGTCTCCCCCGTGGTGGACAGTGGTAGCAAGTCGGTGAGTATGGTCGTGTCTAGTGCAGTGGTCAGGTCTCGTTTAGAACAAGGAGCCCGCCTCATCCACCACTTGTTGCTGTATGTTCCAAGTAGTAACCAAGTGTATGCTCTGCCGTACATCTCTAACCTGAAACAAACCACTATACTATACTAATGAAACAAAAAGTAAAGTTCCGTGGTTGCTACATTTGATTCGTCAAGTTTTAGGTTTGACAGGGTCTTATTTATTAATTTTACTTAACTAACCCAACTATAGAAATAGACCAATTATTCTGCAACTTATACATGTTTACTATAACATATCTACAGATAGTTATCATAAAATAAACTGAATTTTGTTAAAAATAAAGTTAGAATAGGATAAAAAGTTCTTCTTACTTGTAAGCCTCGCAAAAGATCTTAACTGCCCATGTTTCATTAAAGTTGCCCAAGATAATTCTCACATCTTTCTCTTTCAATTTAGAGAGCGCAGTCCTCACTTCTGTTGCGAAGCTCTGTGTTTCTTCTATTAGGAATCCATTGCTGTCCAAATCCGCGAGCAGTCTATTGTGAGCCTTTTAAAATATAACAAAAGGGATAACTATTAAACGGTAGTCTCAAAATAAGAATCAAATAAGAATAAATTTTTACAATACAATGATGGCAAATGAGGATTCCAGTTGACTGATAGAGCACGTTCTGAAACCTCAAGAAACATTATGTTGGTCTTTTTAAAAAAAATTGTAAAAACTTTTGCTATAGTCACTACTATTTTATAAAAGTTTTCTGCTTATTTCTTACCAAGGCATATCTGGGCTCATTCTGGTAAATGGTTCCAACTCTTGTCCAGTTGAAATGCTGCAGCAACCGGATCCTCGGCACATTGAACGCATTTTCCGAAGGTACGATGCGGAAAAAAGTTTGGGAAGGCCTCTTTTGTGAACATCGGGTGGGTATCCGCGTATGAGAGCTGTTGGTAAGTGCTTCTTTTAGTAAGAGTATTATTTTTTAAGCATATGGCTCGCTTGACAGTTCAACAATATTTTTTAATGAGCAATTTGATAGATTTTGTATAAAATCTGTTTTAGCTAGACTTAAGTCTATTCATCCAGATCAAGATACGTTTAGTAAAGACTATGAACAATATAAATGATACGAAAGATTCAGTCTGTAAATTACTTGTGTTTTTACTTTTACTTGTGTGCAAAACATAATTTGAGCTTTCGCAAGTAAACTCTCACCTGTGTAAGATGCCAGTGTTTGGAGGCCTTCGCGATGGGATCAGTGACGTGAGTACAGGCCGCCCCGAACAGCATCAGCTTGTGTGGCCCGCTGTGCATCATGTCGAAGAATGACTTCACGCCCACCGCCGCGTTGCACTGTAGACGAATTTTATAAAATGCACTAAATGATACAAATTTTGACGGTATACTTGTAATTTTAAATTTGTTAACCGCCTATAGATCGTCTATAGATACGAACAATTCTACAGTCTGTAGATATGGTGTTAGAGGGCACATAGTTTTTTTTTGCTTTTTTTTCACAGTGGAAATGTGTGAATACATGAGAGGAAATATGTTTAAGAGAGAATATACAATTTACGAGAGAGCACACAATGATACACATGAGAGAGTTTAAGAGAGAAAATAAGGTTAAAATATGCAATCAATCCTCTCAAGAGGATAGGAGAAGAGAGACAATAAGGTTTAGAGAGGTAATACAATATATGATGAGAGGAATTAAGAAAGACAATATGGTAGACAATAAGGTTGAAAGAGATAATAGAATATATGATGAGAGGAGTTAGGACAATATGTTTTTTTTTTTTTTTGTGGAAATGGTAGCCCCGCCTGTGCTAATGATATACGCGGGAGGAAAGACAATACAATCTATGATAAGACTAGTCAAGAGAAGCAATATGGTTATGAGAGGCAATACAATCTATGATGAGAGGAGTTGAGAGAGACAATATAATTTCATGTTCATTAAGAAAGAGAACAACCGATTCCTCTTGTAAGTCATTGTGATTTATGGTCATGAACAATTGATCTTATTTTATCCTCACTGATATTACCCTAAAAATATGTAGAAATCATAGAACACTCTGGAAATGTTAGAAGTGTACCTCAGTGTCGTTCCACCACATGTGCAGCCGGTAGTTCCTGAGCACGGAGTCGTGCTCGTTGACGTGGTCCAGCGCCAGTTTCACGCTCGGCATCACACCTCGACCTACAGCGGTTTTCATACATATTTGGTACCGTGCATCACATTTTGTAATTTTTTTTTCAGTTTTATGTAAAACCATAAAGAAAATTTCAGGATTTTTTTTCATAATAAAATAATATACACACAATTATAACTGTTTCCTGGTCCTCAAGCTAAAATACCCTGTTAACATAGGACCCTGAGGACCTAGGCATTGAACAGCTAGGAACACAGAGACCCAAAACATAACTATACAGAAAATGTCATTTACTAAATTGGCCTGATCGAAAATCGAACCCGGGGTTTTTTTTTACGCAAAGCACACCCACCATGTGCCGCCTACCACTCTGCCACGGAGGGTGTCAAATAATCATGTGAGCAGTTATAGTTGTAAGTACCATTAAGACTTTGAATATAATAAAATTAATAAGAGACCAATATTGGAGTAAATCCTATCTATTGCAAAAAGTATCATCAAAATTAGTTCAATATTGGCGAAGATAGATATGGTGTAAAATAACACTGACCACTGCTGAACATACGCTTCCGCCATAAGAGGGGCTTTGCCAATAGTTGCCACGCTTGGCAGGCAGATTGACAACTGCAGCTAGGCTTTGATAATGTTTTAAGAGGGGCGCTGCCATCCATTACTCGACCATTCAGTTCCCTTAGTTGCTTCCGACGACGCCCACGAGAAAAGAAGAGGTGACCCATTCTATGCCGGGACCACACGGCAATGGAGACATACACATAAAATAGTAACTTGAGTACCTCCTCCTTTTAGAAATAGTTTAAGAAGGCAGTTCAAGAAAGCGTCGTCAACTCCTTCGGAAATAGCAGCATATGACAACTTAGCGGGTGTCACAGTATATTCCACAACATCTATGCTACTGTTCATATTTTTATGCGATGATTAGCACTATGTACCAGGTGGGTCGTAAATTTGTTGGCCATTCTAAGTTGCATAAAGAAAAGCATTAATGTTCGCCATATTGCCTATGAGGAACCTTATCGATCAATATTATATTATAATCAATAATTCCTTGTTTCTAATGCTTTCTCGTTGGTCTCCTATTCTTACGTTACGTCAATTAATTATACAAGACATGAAACTTCAATACGAATATCAATAAATAATTTACTGGACCTTCGAACTTCCAGCCCTCAGAGATCAATCACGTTATTACGAACAAGTTCACGTCTAATCAACTTATAGAGGAGTTTGTACCATTCCAATTCTATGATTCCTTCAATTCTATAATCTATATTGATGTACATGTTAAAAATCAAGTTTCTTCAAAGGCCCTGAATATCGCCTTTTGTGCAATATGTTCCAGAGGGAGACTTTGTACAAAAGTCGCTTGCCTGGGCACCTCTGCCCCATTCGTATTTATACCGTGAAGCAGTTGTGTTTGCACGACTGTGTTTCGGTTTGAAGGATGGACAGTATACCATATTCTATTTAGGGATATGACAATGAATTTCCAAGGTACAGAGGAATAACACCTGCGTTCTCAGGAATAGCAACGCATAGGAAGTATCATGGGTGAAACAGTATACTCTGTTATGTCCATGGTACTGCTCATGTCTATAGCCGACGGTTATCACTTACAATCAGGTGGGCCGTCAGCTTATTTGTCATTCTAAGTTGCATAAAAAAATGTTCTCAATGGAACTGTGGTTTTGAATGAATGAGTATACTTTATTTGCATTATACAATATAGGAAATAAGCGAGACAATTTACAAACACAACGATACAATTGTACAAGTACAGTGAGGCGGTCTTATTGCTGAGAGCAATCTTTTCAAGGCAACCTTAAGGTAATGGACTAATTGTTGTACAAGTAGGTATGATAGTGCTGTATAATTTAAAAAAGCATCGATTTATGCAACATAATTGAGTGTATTCAATTTACATTCATTGCTTATTACTCGCAACTTCATATGCATGGGTTTTGGGAATAGGTTACCAGTTTAAGATAAAATATTAATAAACATACATCAGATTTAAAGTTGGATCTTAAAGAACTTAATGTTAAATCAATTTTATTTTAGTGCATTTTTGCGTGATACCGGATTAATATCGTAATAGTAACAGTTTTGGATTTTATTGAATTATTAAATATCTTTTTATGCACAGACGTCGTGTAATTACATTTTTATTATATTAGTAACTATGAGAAAAGTCGTATATAATAGATTAAAAATAGATAGATACCAGTGTTAGAGTTCTCCACGCCCTTGCCGAATGGAAAGAAGCCAGCTATATACACGTCAGTTCTCCGATTCAGGATCGCGTCGAGGTTCGGCTTCTGCGGCAGACCCTGGCTGAAGCTCAGCAGTGCCAGGAACATTACCAACATGGTGGATTCTGGGAATAGAGAGATACCTCTATAAGATAAACTACTTACCTGTCATTTGCCATTTCAGAGGAAGTTTTGGGAAATTTTACTCGCCTCTTTCTTCTAAAAACTACAACTTTCTACGTTTTGTAATTGTTTATATTGGTTTTTCTCATGCTTTCAATTTGGGGATGCCCGACTATTTTCGAACTTAATAGGAACCCTTATTCATGAGCGCGGTTCACGGCTAACGTGAGTAAAACCAGCATATTAAATTACAATATAGTATGACATAAAATAGTTATTATTAAAGTTTTCATTTCAATATAATTAAAGTTCAAATTAAAAATTTTGCATAGGGGATGAAGAGAAAACACTTATACGATAAGTTCATTAAAGGTTTGGCATTTTTACGATAAAGGCAGTTAGTGGATACCTTTGCCTCATTATTATTGGTTAACCAATTTTTATCATCACCGCTCATCGACACTTTCGCTTGCGAAAATCACTCCACAAAATACACTCTAAAAATTTATTTTTTAAGGATTGAATCAGTGATCACAAAATTCTCATGCTGCCAGGAAGATACATATATTTTTCTACACAGATCACTAACTAGCGAGTCTAGTAAAATAAGATTAGTAGGAATTTACGGCGCAGCGGTGAGGTGCAGTTTATGGCTATGTTTGCTTGCTGAGACATGATTATCAGACATTACCCACAACAGAATCTGACCTTAGTTCTGTGTTTGGTAACTAATGCCAAATAATTAAATGTCAATTTTCAATAACTAATAGGTATTTCATTACTTTTTCGTGACTGTTGACATTTGTCCATATTTTATCAAGTATAGTTAATTTAGTCTGATTGGGGTTGGACATGTTAAGAACAGATCTTTGTCTAACGATAATAGTGCTCTCCTTTATCTGTGCGTTACCTAGCAACTTGTTTAGTTAATGTTCTGTCGAAATAAAAATTACTTTCACTACAAATATACGTACTAATATTCTATTTTAAATCCATTACATTTCCTGTTCCCTTTGATTTGTTAAAGGGACATGAACCTACCGCTATTTGGTTTGAAATATTATGGTATTTACCAACAATAGACATTTCCATACGTCTGTTTATTGGCAATGGATAATCCAAGAAGAAAGTTAATTCATTTCTACAGGTTATTAGGTGAATAATGTTATGTCGGGAATTTTTATATATTAAAATCACGTTTTATCAAAATCCTTCCTTACAGAAACCTTATTATTTGTTTTTATTGTAATTTTTTTAAATATTTTTTTTTACAATATTAAAGCAAAGGAATTGCATCTATGTTTTGAATCGAAAAAGGTAAGCAGCCTTCATAAACCTTCTGAGAACATAATCCTATCATACTGGAAGATTATTTTTGTTATATCAGCTATAACTGTCCACTGCTGAACCTCCACCTCACCCTACTACAATGTTTTGCCAGTAGTTGCCACGCTCGTCAGGCGGGTTAGCAACCGCAGTTAAGTTTTGGTGATGTTTGAAGAGGGACGCTGTTGCTCATTTCTCGACTGTTAAGTTCCTTTAGTTGCCTCTTACGACATCCACGGGAAAAGAAGAGGTAGCCCTTTCTATGCCGGGATTACACGGCAATATATATATATATATATATATATATATATATATATATATATATATATATATATTTAGATATTCGCGCGTAATTAATTATATATATATATATATATATATATATATATATATATATATATATATATATATATATATGCTCGTGAATCAGTACTAAAGTATCTATTTGCTAAGTTGGGATATATCCTACCCGTGTGTGTAAATTTCATTTGAATATTTTTGTGTGAAAGAGTAACAAATATCCATCCGTCCTTACAAACTTACGTATTTATAATATTCATGTATGTATGTATGTATGTATGTATGATAATGTTTATCATCTGTACTATAGGTGCGGGTTACAATTGTAGCTTCCTATCAAATATTCGTAAATTACTCATATTTTTCAAAAAGAGAATGGGGTTGCAATGTAAAAAAAATCTCAATTTTACTATAAATGTTATAAAAAGAAAATTAAAAAAATATAAATTTAATCACGTAAAAGCAATTTATTTTTAAATTGCGCTGCCTGTTCTATTGAATTACCAGTCATAGACAATATGGAATAGATCAATGAATTAAATATAGCACTAATATTAGAGCTATAAATAATATAAGAGCTCAAGTACGTACCTCCTGACAAGTAGAATTTCACACAGTTACACATTACGAAAGCCATGTGCTATTTTAAGAATCTTCAGTCGCCTCACAACCTTTCTCACACGTTTTTACATTTCAACAAACAAACAACCTAACAATTAAACATATTGCACTATCAATGCATTAGAACAGTCTTTTCCCCTTTTAAAACCCGCCTAGATCCAGTCAAATCACATCCGAAGCACATTTCTGCTGAAGCTGAAACTGAATCCAGGCTTTCAGAGCGCCTTCAACCTCAGAACTGCCATCTATTTCTTATTTAAAGGCCAAAGCAGACTTTATTGGTACAACGATAAGACACATATTTGTACACGTGATGGCCCCAGAAACAATTTCGTTTTATGTATCAAAGAACTTTATACAAAGTATTTCATGAACAATTTTCAACCGTAAGTAGACGATTGAAAGTAGAAGACCGATTGTACAGTAAAAAGTTTTGAGATGTTTTGCAGCAGAAAAGTGTGAGCAAACAAGCAAAATTAGGCTTTGAAGGTGCAAATCGATATAGGGAGGGTTACAAGTTTAGTGAGGTGCTTTCATGTTAGAATATCGATAAGACCAAGTCTTCAGGTGTCTCTAGTAGATATCATCCAAATCTCTAAAGACGAGACTAGAAAATTTCGTTTAATAAATGATTAATTAAATTCGGCACACAACTAGAGAAAATATCGCCAGTCATATTGGTATACGCTTGCGGAGCTCCAGTGAGGGATAACAGGTGAAGATGAAAGCAAGCCAGTTAGCCCATAGCGATGAATTCCACAAGAATTAATCACGTTGGTTTCCACAGGGAACCGTATGGACATATTGCTAGTAATGAGGATTGAAGATTGCTAGCAATGTATCTTATCAGGTAGGAAGCAGTTAGACACCATTTCTAACAATACCTTTGCCCCCGTTATAAGAACTTTCTAGTTTTGATAGGCATATCACTTTATTTTGTTTAAATATCTACCTCCTATATTTTTTACCTTTTATTATATAAAAACTTGTAACGTCTAAGTTTAAGAACAATTTAACATAGTAAAATAATATTCAGAATGTCATTAGTCGATAAAAATAAAATCGCTTAATGGCACATGTACTTTTACAATAGTTATAAATTAATTTAGATGTTAACGGTGCTGTAAATTATCGACAATCGATAATTTACTTTGTGACTATTGCTGCCCAGCCTTAGCCAGCCCTCGCGGACGCAGGCGCGGAGCACGGGGTGTGACCGTGGGTCTCGTCTCTCGGCCCATTTGCTACTAGAGTCTACAAGAACAACAACATTTGAGCAAATGTTGTTGACTGGGGTTCACCTGTGAACCTCGGTTGACGATATATAATAATCTAAATAAGTTATTATAGAATGGTTCACTCGGTTATACAAATGTTTTATTTTTTGATGGAAGAAAATGGAATGATAAGTCGGCCTGTGCTATTGGCGGGGTACCAAAGAGGGATGATAGATCTTTTCTGTAATGGGTGAAAATGAAATAGTTGCCTGCGTTATCGGTATACACTGGCGGTGCAGTAGTGAGAAATGATAGGTTAGGATGAGGCAGATCAGTGACGATTCCATCGTGACAAATTCAACATTTATTAATCACAATGATTTGCGGGGAGAACTGCGTGGAAGTCGACTTGATAGGGTATATTGGGGCAGTTAGATCTCATTACTGTACCCGATTATGGGATCAACACGGGGTAACACTAAATTAAAAAAGATCATCATAATCAGTTTATTCCATTAAATCATTATAATTATATTATAAAACAATTAAGATTACGACTATTTGAGATCACAAGGTTAAAGTCAAAAACTTTATTTAATTTAGGTATAAAAAAAAGTTTAAAAATCATCATCTATAGTTCAGACACCAGCTAATTTCAAAAGTTTGAATAATTTTCAAAATTGGCTCGACTAAAATAGAACACAAAACCTTGTTTACGGAAAACAACTAATTCGTTATAATAGTACAATTTTGTAATAGATGATAATATATCAAAGGACGATTTGGATTGGTCATGCTTTTGGACTTTATAGTGATTATTTTATGGAATTTATATTATTAAAAAATCAATCTTAAAACATATTAACATAGAGTCTAAAATAAAATAATGAATTCTAGACAGATTAGAATGACAGTTAATGTCAGATTGCCATTGTACGAAATATTTACGTTCCATTCATATGACTATTATGGGAATTTCAAACATATTTTTTTATATATTTCAAGTAGAAAATTTAAAAACAAAAGCAATAATTAAAAAATATGAATGTTTTGTATATTGCTTACCTTTATTTAAAGTTTAGAGGATAATAAATGTTTAATTTATTAGAAACTATACGTTCCATTACATGCGCATAATACGAAACTTCAAAAGTTCCACATAAGCGACGACGGTATGACAACACCGTCTGCCAGAATACGTGGCCCGTCGTTTTTCATGATTTCAGTGTCTTGTTTATATTTTTTATTGGAATATTTCGTTGTGATTTTCGCTTAAAGCCGTAAGTATTCCAAATAATGTGAAACAATCTATGTTATTCTTCTTGTAGAGTGTCTGAAAGTGTATAAATCTATGCATAATCGTCTAACAAACTTGATGTGGCAGATGTCAGTTACTAACAAGATTGTGTTACTTTTAAATAAAATGTTCGTGTAATTTTACCATTTCTTTTTGAATGTTACGCAATTAGAGTAATATATTTTGTTTTAGTTGTATTTTTTTCTATGGTGAAGTGTGTATTGTGTTATTTCGCGAAGAAAATATTTTGGTATTTCAAACCGATTTTTTTCTATTTAGAAACAAGTTTCACTCGTAATATTCGTTAAACACTCAATAAAATCTCTACGCTATATTTATTCATTACGTACGTAAATATGTTACGAAGAAAATATACTTAAAATAATGTCATCAAGATGTAATTCATTATCAGAATTGTTGACACAATTCTGCTGTTATTGATAATTAGTCCCATGTTATAAAATACCCATTTATTATTTTTCTGTAATATACGAGTATCTGGTGACAAGTAGAATATAATTAAATAGTTCTTATGGAATATGTAGGAGGTGAATATATGTTAATCTATTTCTTGTGAGACATTATGTCTCCGTGCAGAGTATTTCAGTAGCCACAAGAACACAATATAAACTGGTATTTTATATTTTTTTGTAAATAAAATATAAATCATTCAAATGTATTTTATATTTGATAAATGAATCCTTACATATGAATAGAATATATAGAAAATATCATGACTACATTGATTTAATTATATATATTCTAACTTATATTGATTAATGCAAAACTCATCGAGTAATGAATGAATATTTTAAAATATATTTTATCAAGTTTTACTTATTATTTATATCTGAAAGAAAGTGCACCATTATGTTAGTAGTAGTGTTTGTTAGTCTTATGTATCATTTCGTAATTGTCAGTTATATTAGTAAGACTGTCTTCCAAGGATCTCAGAGGAAATTTTAGAATTGTGTGTGTGTGTGTGTGTGTGTTTAATTTATATGCTGTATCTTCACTAATTCTTAATTCAAAACCACTGCTAATCATACATACTCATCTGTTTGTTGCATCTAAATCAAAAGTTTATGTTGTTGTTGTTGTTGGTCACAATTGAATTTATTTGAATTCAGAGCAGCAGAATTAATATTTAATAGAAATTTGTAATAACTTATGCATAGTTATGATTGTTTGAGTCTAGTCAACTAATGAAATAAATATAATGTCATAGTCATAGAATACTGACGGATATAATATATTTAATATATTTAATATTTGTCAGATCCGTCAGTGTTCTATGACTATGGTGATATTATTGGTTTACTTATTAATTTAAAATCTAAATTAAATAGAGAAACTTTACTAAAGATTTATTTAATATTGCAGACCATGTTGATAGTTGTGGGTACAATTTAACTCTACACAATACAAACAACAACAATACAATTAAAAATGTGAAACAAGTTACCAACAGCATTATTTCTTAATAAACCTGCAAGAAGATATATCAATGCATTGGTAAATTTGCTGGCATTGTTTACGTCTATGGGCTGTGGTGAACACTTCCAGTAAACAAACTGCATGCTTGTGTACTACCCTTTCTAATAAAAAAAAAAAAAAGAACTATGAATATTACAATCTGATATGAATATTTGTAATTATTTGGTTACAGGTGTTCCGGCTTCAATCAAGATGATGAATCCACAGTATTTGCCTCCGGGGCAAAATAACAATGCACCAAATAATCCTCTAGGGTTCCCCCCAACCTCCCAGGACTACAATGGTGTCCAGAATGCTAATATTTACAATCACTCATCAAATGGGCCACAAATACCATCCAAACCTTTTGATTCGGCTGATGTGTCTCAAAAAATGCAAAACATGAACATAAATGGTCCTCAAGGTTTTCCACCATCTCAAATACCTTCTGGACAATTACCACCTGGCCAACTACCAGGAGGAAATTTCCCTCCAAATTCAAACTTTGGGCCTGGCCAAGTTCCACCTGGGCAGCGACCACCAGGCTCTTTCCCTCCTGGGCGACCACCAGTAAGCGGCGTCCCTCAACAAATGCAACACATGCCGCCACCTATGGGTCAGAAACCATCTCCATCGTCAATTGCAGGACCTATTCCTGGTTCTCATCCTCAGAGTTTTGGACAAATGCCACCTTCCAGTCAATCTAATTTAGATCATAATAGGTCTTTTCCACTAGGACCACCTATGCATCAAGGGCCATCTATATCCCAAGGTCCACCCTTGTCTCAAGCTCCTCCCATGGCACAAGGTCCACCCATATCTCAAGGGCCACCCATATCCCAAGGGCCACCTATATCCCAAGGGCCACCCATATCCCAAGGTCCACCCATATCCCAAGGGCCACCCATATCCCAAGGTCCACCCATATCTCAAGGTCCACCCATATCTCAAGGTCCACCAATGTCTCAAGCTAACCAGCAGCTTGGTGGTCCACCATCTATAATCCAACAACCTCTTGGCGCTCCAGGAGGACCAGGACTACGTCAAGGTCCTTCTGGACCAGGGCAATTGCCCCCACATTCACAATCTGCTCTTCCACCACAACCTAGGCCTCCTGGATTACCACCACAAACGTCACAACCTATAAAACCAGGGATGCCGCCTCAATCGCAACCTGGGCAACCACAGCCAGGTTTTCATCAACCAGGCTTACCGCCCCAACCTGGAATGCCTTTACAACCAGGAATGTCGTCTCAGCCAGGAGTGCCTCCTCAATTAGGATTAGCTTCTCAGCCTGGGCAAGGCCAGCCACCAGGCCTTCCACAGCAACCCGGACTACCACCGCAATCTGGACATGGATTGCCTGGACCACCTAAACCAGGATTTCCATCACAGCCTGGGCAACCCGGTTTGCCTTCCCAGCCAAGTTTTCCTGGTCAACCCGGATTACCACCGCCTGGTCAGATCCAAGGGCCACCTGGGTTTACCCAGCCTGGTTTGCCGCCGCAACCGGGTCCACCGTCGCAGCCTGGCGTTCCTCAGCAATACCAATCGATGCCTGGTCTCCCGCATATGCCTCCACCAATCTCACAGCAGAGGCAGTACCCTGGAATGCCACCTGCAAGTCAACCAGGTTATGGTCAGAGTGGACCGCCAACAAATACTGGTTACCCAGGTAAGTTTATATATATGAGTAACTTGTCATGATAGAGTGTATTTTTAATATTTTTTTTTACCATAATGATAATTATGGTAGTTAAATAATCATAGTTGATCACCATTATTATAATATACTAATAATGGGTATCACCCCATGAATCCATACCCTCAATTGTTTACTATTATTCTTGATATTGTAGACATCTACAGACATTACTTGCTGATTGAGAAAAAAAAAATTACTAAAGGTACCCTAAAAAGGGGATGAAACTTATGTAGTAAATTTACTTCTTACAGGCATGCCGCCAATGCCGCCGTCGTCGCAGCCACAGCAGCCGGGCTACCAGCAGTCAGGGTACCCGCCGCAATACCAGCCGCCGTTCCCCGGGCAGCAGCCCAGCTACCCTGGACAGTATCAGCAGCAACAGCAGAAACAGCTTGATCCAGACCAGATGCCTAGTCCTGTTAGTATTCCTTTACAGTTCTACGTAATTTTGTGTAAATCGATATTAGTAATCAGGTATATAGCCCGTCTACTAGTAAATGGATAGTTCATGATAGCTTACAACATTACTTGGGCTTTTCCTGCCCTTAAATCGCATTTTAAAACAGTTTTTAAAAAGAAATTTCTCAATTCAAGGGTATATTTTTGAGTTTATTTTTTTTGCAATTAGCAGGATTTATTTCCTTATTGTTCTCATACAAGTTATATATAAACTTAGCTGGCAAATAAATGTTCATGTTCACTAAAATCATCAGTTTCACAATGATTCAGCACTTGTTATAACGTCATAATATCGGAAACACACGAAGGTATCATTGTGGTAAATAGTTCGTACTCATACTTAAAATGTGTAAAGTTATGACCATGGCATAAGTTTAGAATGGTGTGAAAATAATAATAAATAAATGCCATACAATCACAGCAAACCCCTAGTTATCTGTGTTATGAATAATCAAGCAATGAAACTTCTGAGGGCAGGGGGGAAGGGATTGCTAGTAATGCGCACTACCAGTTCCATTGCTAGCAATATACACTGTCAGGTGGATTACTCTTGAAACAAATTACAATAAATCGAAATTGAAATTAAGACGTTTCACACTCGAATTGCAACACTAGCGACATAATGGTTCCATATTGTTCTGATAGTTAGTATAACTCAATGCAAAATATTGTAAACGGATCCCAATTATAACCTAATCCCTAACTGTTGTTTCATGAATGCAGTATAAAATTGTCATTGACAATAGATTGGATTGATATTAGATTCAAGGGTAAATACCAAAGTTCGACTTTCACTTGGCCCTTTATGGGAACCAACATGCTGAATTGTGTTTTTTTTTTATACAACTTAGAATGGCAAACAAGCTGACAGCCCACCTGATGGAAAGTGGTAACCGTCGCCTATAGACATGAGCAGTACCATGGACATAACAGAGTATACTGTTTCGCCCATGATACCCTCTATGCATTGTCATTCCTCGGGTGTTATTCCTCTGTACCCAGTAAGTTCACGCCATATCCCACCCTTCAAACTGAAACACAGCCATGCAAACACAACTGCTTCACGGTTGAAACACGAGTGAGACAGAGGTACCCAAGCAATTGACTTTTGTACAAAGTTTCCTTCTGGTATATCTGCGTATTCTTCACGATGGGCTACCTGACTTGCCTTTGTATTCTCACTGGTGTTCAGCCAACATATACTGTTAACGCAGGCGAGGTTGCCATTCCATTATCATCCATTAAAAATACCTTCTGGGGAGACAACCCACCCAACAGAGTGCTGAGTGAGTCGAATACTTTCGTTTTTTAATGATATTTTTTACGTAACAAGATAATTTGCTTGTACAGATCCAGGTTATGGCGGACGACCAACAGAATCGCGGCGGCGTGTTCGTCACCAACGAGAAGGGACTCGTGCCGCCGCTCGTCACCACCGATTTCGTTGTCGACGACAAAGGCAACGCTAGTATGTAGTTTTATTTATTTATACTTTTGCACACACTAGAGTATGTCTACAGGGCGGACTTAATGCCTGATGGCATTCTCTACCAGTCAACCGTTACGATAAACAGAGAGAGAAAATGTCGGTGCATAGATTTGTGTTCTTTACTTAACTACCTGTTGCTGGGGCTTTGCTCAAAACTTGTTTGACTTTCTCCATCATAAGTCAACAACAGTCTCACTTCCACATCCTACTAATATGAAAATTTGTAAATTTGATTAAACAATAATGTTAAAAAAAATGTTTCCCAAACACAAAGCATGCTTTGGTTGCCTCTAAATATAAGAACATTTAGACCTAATCCACTATTTTAGGGGGGAAAGGGATTGTTAGCAATGGAGTTTGATGGCCCCATTGCTAGCAATATGCCCTATTAAGTTGACCTCTACGTGGTTCCTCCTGGAAACCATCGTGAACAATTTTTGTAGAATTCGTCACGATGGGCTAACTGACCTGCTTCATAAACCTATCATCCTTCACTGGTGCCTCGCCGGTATATACCGATAGCGCGGGCGGGGTTACCATTCCATTATCAACCAATAAAAAAAAAACACTAGTATATTGTATTGAAAGTCGCTGTATTTTATGTTGGTAATCCTATATATGTATAAATAAATGAACAAATTAATATTTCTTTCTGTGTTGAACCACTGTACTCTACATTAATATGTACAATATTTTGATTAATGATTGAATGAGAGTTTTCGCAATATCCACTGTTAAATACGTTTTATCATTCAGGTCCCCGCTACATAAGGAGCTCGTTGTACAGCGTGCCGGTCACCGCGGACTTGTTGAAGCAAACGGCAATGCCGTTCTGTTTGGTCGTAAGTATTGATCAAGGTTTAATTAAAAAATAAATTTAAGATATAATCGATCATTAGCCCAGATAAACGCTTGTAAAACTCAGCAAGCTTAGATTGTGTACATAGAGCCTCGAGCCTCAAAAACGGGTCAACTTTTTGTCAGCTAAATGTCAAATTAGCTGACTCGTTTTTTTTATTGATGTTTGATGATACTTACGCACATAATGTTTCTTGGCATATTTATATTTATTTATTTAATAAATAATATGAGATTTTGCGTATTAAAAATGTGCAGAATTTATAAGACAAAATAAATATGGAAGTTATAAAGGAAACACTTATAACTATTTATTACGAAAAATTGTATGAAAAAGTTGAACCACTTTTTTTCGAAGCATTTGTATGGAGACAGTCTATCTATATAATGTAAGCCAGCAAGAAATAGTTCAAGCAGCGGCTTCACTTCCCAGATATCGCCGATGGCGGAGACGGTAGGCGCGGAGCCGGAACCTCCACTGCTGGACTTCGCGGCGCTGACCAACTCGCCCAGCATGGGCCCGGTGCGCTGCAGCCGCTGCAAGGCGTACATGTGCCCCAACATGAAGTTCATCGACGCCGGCAGGCACTTCCGCTGCGCCTTCTGCAAGGCCACCACTGAGGGTGAGCGGTCGTTATTGTTATGATCTACCAAGCACTGCACCTTAATTACTACTGCACACTTGTTGCGGCTGCCACGTTTTTGTGGTGCATGCACAATGTTTGCAGCAGCATCGACAGATGTCTTCTATGCCATCAGACGCAACAGATCGCATCTCTTTTATACCGACTGCGTGGCAGCAGTAACGGCATTCTGTGGGCTTTGTGTAATAAATACGATAGCCCGATCCTCTCATTGTGGGTCAAAATTATTAAAGGGGCCATAAAATGATTTTTTTGTATTTTTTTTTCTACTAATATAGTTGAAGTCAATTGTTACTAACAAAAATGGATCTAAGTAACAAAGAATTACTATTATTATTTTTTAATTTTTACGAAAAATCAAATTTTTGGAGAGGAGATGGCAAACTAACCCCCAATAGAAGCACAGTCGGCCAGGGTTCAGGACCCCAGAGAGAGAATTATTATTAACAGCCTATTAATGTCCCACTGTTATATTTATCTCGCATTGGCTGTAAGACAACGACGATTCATACGTACTCAAAAGAGAGGCTTAATGCAGACAAAAAGAGTCCAATTTACATTGACATCTACTCTTACATTTTTGAATACAATAAGAATGTTTTTTATTTAAGTAAACTTCATTACAAGCATTTTTGAATAATATTTTTTTTTATGATTCTGCCACCCATTCGGAATGCAATTTTACTTAAGAAGAACGTCCAAGATACTAAACTGTTGTGTGTTCCACTCTCTGTTATTCCTCTATATCCAGGATCATTTCTTGTGACAGTCTGTGGGGAGTTCTTTGTTCAGCAGTGGACACATAACGGCTGATATGATAACGAATATCACTTGCTTCATGCTCAGAGTGCCTGTAAAGTTAAGGTCACATCACTTATTAGATCGACCTGGAAACCCACCCTCCTCCCACGAACACTCAGATTGTGGAATTAGCTCCCTGCCGAGGTTTTCCCAAGAGACTACAGCATTGGGTTCTTCAAAAGGGGGGTAAACAGCTTTCTTCAGGGTCGGCAACGCGCGCGTAATACCTCTGGTATTACAGGCATTCATAAGCTACGGTAACCACTTACCATCAGGTGGGCCGTATGCTTGTTTGCCACCTCAGAGGTTTTAAAAAAATAAAAAAAAATCACTAATGGAACAGCGCATCACTATTGTCGCGTCCGCTCTCAATATATATGTCATCACCATTGTACTGATGTCGGTCTGTATAATTAAACCAATAAGTAATAAATAAGTCTTTGTCATTTATAATCAAGCCAATACAACTAGATGGAGTCATCGTGTATAATGACTATGTATATGTACGTGCGATTGCGTTGAAGTCGAGAGCGGTGACGATATAGTTTGCATTGCGCAGTGCCGATGGAGTACACGCAGTACGTGAACAGCATGCAGCAGTACGGCCGCGTGCCCGCCGAGATGGCGCTCGGCGCCTACGAGATCGTCGCCACCAAGGAGTACTGCCGGGTACGCTCTGCCCTCTAGCATTCATAAGCCGCCAATTGTACAAGACTAGCTCATTCCAGTTTAGAGTAATGAAAATATACCTTAATTTAAAAAAAAATCCTAAATTTTTATTTGTAAGTTTTTTTTTAACTCTAATTGATTACATCGAATTAATTTTCTCATTTTGAATTAATAGGGTTTATAGGAATAAATAACTACACTAGATATTATATTTGTGTGTGTGCGCGCGTGTGTGTGCACGTGTGTGCGTGTGTGCGTGCGTGTATGTGTGCGTGCGTGGCTGCGTGCGTGTGTGCGTGCGTGCGTGTGTGCGCTCGCTAACTGTATAGTGCTAACTGTATGTACGTGTGCCCCCGCAGAACAACAAGCTGCCGAACCCGCCGGCGATCGTGTTCGTGATCGACGTGTCGTACAACTCGGTGAAGAGCGGCCTCCTCGACACGCTCTGCGACAACATACTCGCCATACTCGACGTACGCGCTCCTCCTATTCATTATACCATATACGAGTTTTTCTTTTATATCGGCCGTTAACTATCCACTAGTGTACTGGTTTTGCCATATGTTACCATGCTTGGCAGGCGGGTTGGCAATCGCAGCCAAGCCGCTACTGCCCATCCCTTGACCATTAAATTTTCTAAATCACCTCTTACTACACCAACAAGAAAGGAAAAATGCCCATATATTCCAGGACTACATGGCAAATGTTTATACAAGTACATTAGTTCCTTCTACAGACCTACTCATATTTTAACTTTTAAAGTATTTTGTTACTAGCTTTTAATATGAGAATTTAGAGTAAAGAAAAATATTTCAATAGCTATATAATATGCTCATAATTCTAAAGAAAGCCTGAATATTTCTCTCGAAACAGGCTAAAAACATTTTTTTACCAACTTAAAAAGAATGATGTTCTCAATTTGCTTGTATTTTATGTTTGTTACCTTATATCTCCGTCTGTTGTAAACATATATGTCAAATTATTTTTTTTTAATCGGAGTGTATTTACTTACAGATTGATCCTAAAGAGATTTTATCAAAATCGACTCAGTAATATAGTTTTTCAAACAAAATATTTATATTATTATATTTATCACAACTCCCATATTTGGAACTAACAAAATTTTTCATCGTGCCTCCCACCATATTGTTTATAATTACTCCTCTCCATCCAAAGGTAGCCTGGAAGAGATCGCTTTTAGCGATAAGGTCGCCCATTGTTTTCTCATTGTGATTATTTCTTGTAATTGTTTATATTGATAATAAGTTTACTATTGTAATCTTTTGGAGGAAACAATAAAGAGTATCTATCTATGTCTATAATTGGTTCTACCACAATTGCAGTCTGTTTTTTTATAACCATTTACCAGCCTACGTATTCTTTGGGAAGATATTTTATGACTAGAACACACTCTTAAAAGATATAATAATTACCATTTCATGCACGTGTAATGCATAGTTCAGTATCTCTCAGCGTTTTTCCTGCACTGTGTTTTGCTTAATTGTGTTTTCTATTGCAGACATTGCCTAAGGACGAGCAAACCGGCGAGTGCAAGACGCGTGTCGGCTTCATCACGTACAGCTCCACGGTGCACTTCTACAATATTAAGGTAACAAATTAGAGCATATGACGCTACTTGCAATCACCGCTGAGGGTAATATTTTAGTTAAAACGACAGATTGGGGATATAGGGGGCCTACCGTGAAATGAAATTTCGAAGTTTTGGACTCAATTTCGTGTTTTTGTACATATCGAAATCGGCCCAGTAAATTGGAGCTTAACATTTCGTTCGTCATAAATCCTACCATAAAAGTCCAAAGGAATGAATATTTTCATATTTTTAAACGATAAGTATTATGTAATTTTAACATCAAATTTGTGTTTCGTTTGGCATCGAAATTTTGGAAAACCATTTCATGGTAGGCCCTCAGATACCAAGCGAGCCTTATTTGTAATGATCAGATAGTGTTTTAGGAAAGGAAAACAGGGCCGTACCTAGACACAAGCTTAAGGTAGAGCAAGACATTTTTTTGTTGGTTGGATAGAAGCCATAATTAAGTGACTTTGAAAAAGTGAACCTGTCTAATTTTCTTGAGATGTTTCTTTCTAAGGTAGGCCATCGGGCCTTTTAAGATAGAGCACTGCCATTCAATGCCCACCCCCCCCTAACTACGGCTATAGACGGGGGAGTTAACAGTAATCAAAATTTCTCACCAGAGGGAGACTTAGTACAAAAGTCGTTTACTTGGTACTTCTGTCCCTTTTATATTTCTGCTGAGAAGCAATTGTGTTTGCATGTTTGTGTTTCGGTTTAAAGGGTATATGAATATGTTAATGAAATTACAGGGTACAGAGGCATAGCAACCTAGTACATAGGAATAGCAACCTATGAAGGGTATCATAGATGACATAGTATACTCTGTTATGCCCATGATACTGTTCATATCTATAGGCGACAGTTACCAGTCGGTAATCCTTTAGTAGATATATTTAACTCAGTGTGTATTAGTGGATGGTCCATCTCCATTCTTATTTTCTGGGTTTTGCACCAATATCTCACTTGTTTGTGTTCTGTGAATTGTCCTTAAATGTGTGTGTGTGTGTGTGTGTGTGTGTGGTCGGCAGGGGTCGCTGGCGCAGCCGCAGATGCTGTCGGTGGGTGACGTGGGCGACATGTTCGTGCCGCTTCTGGAGGGCTTCCTAGCGCCGCCGCCCGCCGCGCCCGTGCTGCCGCAGCTGCTGCAACAGCTGCCGCAGATCTTCCGCGACAACAAGGAGACCGAGACCATCCTGCTGCCCGCCGTTCAGGTTTGTATCTTACGTTTATACTTATATTTTGTTTATCACATCAAGTTATGCAAAAATACAATGAATTAGTAAACATTACAACTTTATATTAATATTTTCGATATTATTCCGCAGGCGGGGCTGGAAGCCCTAAAGGCAGCCGACACATCTGGTCAGCTGCTGGTGTTCCACACTTCACTGCCCACCTATAATGCACCTGGGAAGCTTACTAATCGCGAGGACAGGAAATTACTTGGCACTGATAAGGAAAAGCAGATATTGGGTAAGTGTATCCGGCTCGAAGGACTTATTACTTCTTTATTCGAAATTAAACAAAGTTTAAATTAAGTATATATTGTCGAAGAATGGGCAGCAGTGCCCCTATTAAAATACCACCAAAACTTAACTGTGTGTGTTTGCATGGCTGTGTATCGGTTTGAAGGGTGGGATATGGCGTGAATTTACTGGGTACAGAGGAATAACACTTGAGTCCTCAGGAATGGCAACGCATGGGGGGTATCATGGGCGAAACAGTATACTCTGTTATGTCCATGGTACTGCTCATGTCTGTAGGCGACGGTTACCACTTTCCATCAGGTGGGCCGTCAGCTTGTTTGCCATTCTAAGTTGTATAAAAATAAAAAAACTACAATTTCTAAATAGTTTTAGTTGGTACACTGTTGTATACGAAAGATGACTTGGTTCACGTTTAATTACGAAAACAAACAACGTAATACGTAAATGTATACATAACTACTCTGTAGTTAAAAAATTATGACGTCCACGTGGACTGTGTCCTTGACGCGCTAATGAAATAACAGCGCGAACAATGACAGCGCTAGAACGCTCTGAGATTGGTTATATTTAAATGACGCGTGATGATCAAACATAGATATTGGATTAAATGCATTTTTTTTTATTTTCTAGTCAATAGCGGCGTTTCTAAGGCTGTTCATTGACTTTTAGAGATAATGATTATTGCAGTTGCGACTAAAGCGGCAACGTCGCTTTTTTAAAAGATACTTTTTGAAAAATTTACATTTATTTTAATTTTTTTTTTTTGTATGAATAATTATATGACATTTGAGACACGAAATTCTATTTGTATCGCAACGTATATGTGTAATACTATAGCCTCTGTATGGAGCCACTGTGTGTAGTCGTATATATAATGTAAGCATGTGGACGTACGTTTGTCGTGCGGCAGCGCCGGCGACGAGCGCGTACAACGAGGTGGGGCAGGCGTGCTCGGCGGCGGGCGTGTGCGTGGAGCTGTTCGTGTGCAACAACTCGTACGTGGACGCCGCCACCGTGGGCCAGCTGCCGCGCCTCACCGGCGGCCAGCTGCACAAGTACACCTACTTCACGGTAACTGCTGCTCCCTACACACACTGCCGCCTATCTTACACGCGACACGCGCCATCTTGTTCTAGCCTTCGAATCGGGTCGACAATTGAGCGTTAAACGCGTCGAGCGTGCTTTTTATTATTTTAAATTTTAAGTAGTTTTATTATTATTATAATCAGATTTTGGTAAAAATGGCATTTTTACCAAAATCTGATTATATATATACATATCACAAAGATTGTACCTGTATATTCTTTTGGTAGAACTACTGAACCAAGGTGGAAAACTCGACTCGAACATATAGCCCGCTTGATAGCAAATATCGTAGCCTATGAACGACTGCATCACGAGGGTTGTCACGTGTGCGTCATCGATCCGATCGATGGCAACTTTTTGAATTTTACAGTAGAATTATAAAAACTTATTAAAATAAGAATAACTTTATTTTCTTAAACGAAATTAACTTATGGTGCAATATAGCTATGTCCCCACACTAGGCAATGCCTGTCTCGTAAAAATCAAAGCAATATTTCAAAATATATGAATGATACTACATTGTTGGTCCATCTGGCTCGAAGGACTATCATTTGTATCTACTCATATTCACGGACGGTACATCTTAGATCATATAATTGCTTTTCATCGCGTCTGATCGTGATTAATCGCTGGACCTTTTAATAGTAAAAAAGAAATATGATACACGTTTCAAATTTGGAACGGAAAAGCGAGACACAGTGTCTCGCTTTTCCGTTTCGTTCGTTTAACTCCAATGGAAATTAGAAAATGTATTTTGAAAGGAGGTGTAAGATTGATTGCTTGTGCGCAGGCGGACACGGACGGCGCGCGGCTGGCGGCGGCCGTGGCGCGCGTGGTGGCGCGGCCCACGGCGCACGACGCCGTCATGCGCGTGCGCACCTCCACCGGCGTGCGCGCCACCGACTTCTACGGACACTTCTACATGGCCAACACCACCGACGTCGAGCTGGCCGCGCTCGGTACGTGCGCGCGTCTACACTCTACCCACCCACACACACACACACACACACACACACACACGCACACGCACACGCACACGCACACGCACACGCACACGCACACGCACACGCACACGCACACGCACACGCACACGCACACGCACACGCACACGCACACGCACACGCACACGCACACGCACACGCACACGCACACGCACACGCACACGCACACGCACACGCACACGCACACGCACACGCACACGCACACGCACACACACACCCACACGCACACGCACACACACACGCACACGCACACGCACACGCACACACACACGCACACGCACACGCACACGCACACGCACACGCACACGCACACGCACACGCACACGCACACGCACACGCACACGCACACGCACACGCACACGCACACGCACACACACGCACACGCACACGCACGCGCACACGCACACGCACACACACACACACACACACACACCTCCTGACGGCGACTCTGTTGCAGACGCGGACAAGGCGGTCGGCGTCGAGATCAAGCACGACGACAAGTTGACGGACGAGGACGGCGTGTACGTGCAGGCGGCGCTGCTGTACACGCACCGCTCGGGCCAGCGCCGGCTGCGCGTGCTCAACCTGGCGCTGGCCGTGGCGCACCAGCTCGCCGACGTCTACCGCAGCACCGAGCTCGACACCTGCATCAACTTCCTCACCAAGCAGGCCGTCTGGGCGCTCAGGGACCTCACCCCGCGGCAGGTACGTCTCTCACCTTCACCTCCACCCCCATGTTTATACGTACGTGTCTACATGTAGCATCAATAGTTTTTTTTTAATTTTACTGAACTAAGTGATATTTAGCGTAAGTTCATATCACTATTATATTACAATTATTTTGTTACCAATGGGTGCAATTTCCAACATTCAAAGTTTGACTACTATTCCTATACCAGTAATTCTGCAACCTTCCCTATTAGCCATCAATTTTCGGCTGCCATTTCGTGGCTACTGATTATTATATTTGATCACCGAAAATTTGCGATCGAATATAAATCGAATATACGCTATATTTGTTTTTTGCCATTACGTGTTACTACGTATGCGTGTTGCTATGTACGCATGTCGCTACGTACGCGTGTCGCTACGTACGCGTGTCGCTACGTACGCGTGTCGCTACGTACGCGTGTCGCTACGTACGCGTGTCGCTACGAGTGCCCGTGCCGCAGGTGCGCGAGGGGCTGTCGGCGCGGTGCGCGCGCTCGCTGGCGTCGTACCGGCGGCACTGCGCGTCGCCGTCGTCCGCCGGCCAGCTCGTGCTGCCCGAGTCCATGAAGCTGCTGCCGCTCTACACCAGCTGCCTGCTGCGCTCCGACGCGCTGCAGGGAGGTCAGTACCGCGCCCTCATCCTTACACTCCTCACCCTCTTCCTCTACCGCCTCAATTTCCTCCTCATCCTCGCCCTCTTCGACCTCTTCCTCTTTGTCCTCCTCTTCTACCTTCTCTTCTTCCTCCTTTTTTTCTGCCTTCTCTTCTTCCTCCTTTTCTTTAGCCTCACCCTCTTCTCGCTCTTTTCTCGCTCCCCTCTCCTGTTTTTGTCCTCTTCTCGCCTTTCTTTCCTCTTCCTCCTCCTCTTTTCTTTTTCTCTCATTTTCTCTTTTCTCTCTTATTATCCCACCTCCTCTTCCTCCTCTTTTCTCTTTCCCTCATTTTCTCTTCTCTCTTATTATCCCATCTCCTCTTCCTCTTTTCATCCTCCTCTTCCTCTCATTCTCCACCTCACATCCTCCATCTTTTCCATTTACTCCTCATTTTACAAATCGTCTTCGTTTTCTTCATCACTTTCACCTTCCTTTTCGTCCTCATTCTCCTCCTCCTCTTCTTCTTCTTCTTCCTCTTCCTCCTCCTCTTCCTCTTCCTCCTCTTCTTCCTCCTCCTCTTCTTCCTACTCATCTTCCTCCTCTTTCTTCTCCTCCTCTTTCTTCCCCTTCTCTCCTACTCTTCCTCCCCTCCTCCCCTCCCCTTCCCCCCTCCTACCCTCATCTTCCTCCTTCCCCTCCTATTCCTCTTCCTCCTCATCTTCCTCCGTCTCCTCTTCCTCCTCCTCTTTATCTTTCTCTTCCTCCTTTTTATCTTCCTCTTCCTCCTCCTTTTTATCTTCCTCTTCCTCCTTTTTATCTTCTTCCTTCTTTTCCTTTTCCTCCTCTTCCTCTCATTCTCCACCTCACACTCTTTGTTTTCTTTCATCACCTCCACCTTCCCTCTCGTTCTCCTTCACCTCCTCCACTCCCTCCTCTTCCTCCTCATCCTGCTTATCCTTCTTTTCCACTGGCCAGTTCGTGCTGCCCGAGTCCATAAAGCTGTTGTCACTCTACAACAGCTACCTGCTGCGTCGTCCATCCCCTACACATTGTCAGCGTGTGACGTAATGTTGTCTACTCTACTCGTGTGCGCAGGCCCCGACATGACGTGCGACGACCGGTCGTGCGCGATGTACCGCGCGCTGACGGCCGACGTGCCCACCTCGGTCGTCTACACGTACCCGCGCCTGCTGCCGCTGCACGTGCTGCACCAGAGCCCGCAAGCTACCCCCACTCCGCTGCGCGCCTCCGTCGACAAGATCAACGACCACGGCGTGTACCTACTTGGTGAGTTCGCAAATGTACATTTTTTTTTTAAAACAACAAAGATAAACAAGCATACAGCCCATCTGTTGGTAGACCTGTCATGTCGTACATATTGTCAACCCTAAAGAAACTTAATGTAGATCAGTGGAAAGGTCACTTAAAAATTGGATTCTAATGGCATTTTGTAAAACTGTTTAGCTCAGACATTTTATAGAATAAATCGACTTTTCTGAAAACGATTGACGATTCACGAAGTAATGTTCTAGAGTGGCGACTCCGTACAGACAAACGCATTGCTGTAGGACGATCTCTACTAGCGAAAAAATTGTATAGCAATTTAAGAGACCGTAGATATTTTATAGAATTTAGGATTTCAAGATATTTTAAATTAAATAAGTAATTAGATATTTTGTAGAGCAAGTCATTGTTGGGTTCTGATGATACATATTTTACCACAAATGATGTATATGTCTTAAAGAAAATTCAAAGCCAAAATTAGTAAATTAGTAAATCATATTCAGCAGGGTTAAATTACCCTAGAAAATATCGGTGCCAAAAAGTTTCACATAGTGCTGAGAAATTTAAAAAAGGTTTTGAGATTTTGAGATTTTTTCACTGGTTTAATATGCCCTTTTTGAAGCATTCCACATTATTGTCTTTGGGAGATAACTTTAGCAGCATTATCTAAGCGTTCACGCGAGAAAACTTTTCTAAAACCGCACAATCATTTAGGTTCTAGAGAGTAGAGATGAATTCAAATTTATAAAATATATACTATTTTCAAAATCTTAAATTGTACCGCGTAATGGGTGCTGTCATAGGGAATACACTATGTACAGTGTTATCCATTTTTGTATGTTGCGGTTATCACTTATCGTCGGGTGGGCCATCGTTTGCTATTTCTTGGGCTCCCACGTTTGGAGCTCCACCACCAATTCTGGCCTACTACTACTTCGCTGGCCGAGCGAGTCGATAGAGTTTTATTTCGTGTATTTCCTTCTCTTGCAGTTGTGCTCTCTGCTATATTTATTTATTTATATCTGTGGTACATCAACAGATTACAAACAATATTTTTACCAATAGAATACAACAATAGCATTATAAGTTTTTAATACAAAAAAAAAAAATGTAAATGAATTTTAAAAACTACACATAATGTAAGGACCAAAAACAAAACTACCAAATTATGCTTCTAAGCTATTGGCTTATCAGTGTATGCAAAGTGCTTCGATACGATGAACATTTCTGATAGAATATGACAATATCCGATTTACAATCAATGTGTCATTGTACAATTTGTACATTCTGTATATTGGATTATTATATGACACATTATTGTTTGCGAACGGTATAGAAAAGAGTTTAGTTGTTCGAGAAGAGTGTTCAGTGGCTCTCAGGTTTATGTACTCCAATAAATTACCTTCCAATTCATTATTTACAATTTTATATAAATATGTTAGGTCACAAATTTTACGACGCGCAACCAAACTCTTCATGTTAAAATGTTGGAGTCTATTCTCATAGCATATTGCCCTAGTTGCCTCCTCATACAGGCGGTGTGATGGTAAAAGCCTCGTCTCATACATAGTCGCGTTGACGGTGGGCGCGTTACAGAGAACGGCGTGCACATGCTGCTGTGGGTGGGGTCGCAGGCGCCGGCCGACTTCGTGCGCGACGTGTTCGGCGTGGCGGCGCCGCAGCTCATCGACCCGCAAGTTTACGAGCTGCCCGCGCTTGACAACCCCTGCAGCGCCGCCGTGCGGGCCGTCGTCGACGACGCGCGGCTGCGGCGACGCTCCGCCATGAGGGTCAGTACACACACACACACACACACACACACACACACACACACACACACACACACACACACACACACACACACACACACACACACACAGGCACACGCCACTACCTTACTGTACAACTTACGACTGGCAAATTAAGTTACAAAAGAGTCTTTGTACAAAAGTCGTCGGCCTGATCACCGAGTTTGTCGCACTCATCTCTACCGCTAAGCACATGAGCTTGCGTGCTTATAAAGCCTTGCCAATTGTGCAAGAATTTTATTTAATCGAATACATGTACTCACATGTTAGATCCAAACTAATCGTGTATTATTTTAATCATATATTATTAAGTATTTATTTAGATCAAGTAAATGTCCGTTGTTACACGAGAGTACAGTATTCTAAATACCCTTTTTCTGTTTCATTGCCATCATTCCCACGATATAGTGATCTTGTAAACGTTTAACCAGTTGTTTAATACTCACCGTGTTACTGGCAACACTTGTAACTGTTGAGTCAGGGTGGTTATTGCCACATATAATTTTACAAATTATAACGACAATTAACAATGATCAAGTTGATAATTATGTGACATATAAAAAAAGACTTCATGATAATCTAAATCTAGGAGAAAGACGATATCTTTCCTGCATGGTGGCATGGCATGGTAGAATATGGTAGAATTTTTGGAATAATGCATGTGACAATATATGTATGTTCTATCTATGTAATTTATAATGTTTTTATTCTTACACTTGCAAAATACACCCGAATATATATATATACTAATGATCAATAAAGCAAATGGTAGAAACTACAGCATGTTATATGTTTAATATAATGAACTAATGTTAATCTATTGATTTCACCCATAATGTAACTCGATACAATGTACTATAATTTTCATCTGTATTCAGTAACAATTATGATTAATACATTCTTGTAATTGTAAATTGAATAATGTGTAATCAATATTTAACATCTCTTCACTCGCTCGCCAAGACGTTTGTTTGAATGACTTCGACTGACAACCAATTTTCTCAGTCTAGTAATAAAGACGTAAGAATACAGAGTTATTACTCAGTAATAACTGAGTAATAACTCTGTATTCTTACGTCTTTATTATACCTTGACGTTGGCGGTTGCCTTACTGATGACCACTATAACGTTGTTGTGAGAATGTTAACGTTTTTTTGATGGGTGAAAATGGTATGGTAACCCCGCCTGCGCTAACGGTATACGCTGGCGGAACACAAGTGAATGGTGATAGATAAGAATGAAAACAGGCCAGTTAGCCCATCATGATGAATTCATCAGGAATTAACCATGATAGTTTCGAGGGGAAATCGCGAGGAGGTCGACCTGGTTGGGTATATTGTTAGCAATGGGATTCTCAGACTCCATTACTAACAATCCCTTTCCCCCCAAATGTTAACGATTGTCTGGTATTCATTATTTCTGCACTGTTTTTGAATGGATACTACTCGACATAGAATGGGCCACCCATTCCTTTCCCGTGGGCGTGGTAAGAATCGACTAAAGGAACTTGATGGTCAAGGGATTAATAGCAGTGTATCTTTTAAAACAAACTGCGGTTGCCAATCCGTCTGCTAAGCGTGGCAATTACTGGAAAAATCCTCTCAATGATTAGTTGCCATAAGGAACGCTCCCGTTCCTTATTTATATATTTATTGCACTTGTAAATTACATTGTTAATGGTAGTCTATGGGGGAGGCCTGTTCAGCAGTGGGCAGATAACGGCTAAAACGATGATGATGATGATGATGATAATGCCTCTTAAATAGTGAGTCTATTAATTGTATTTCCACAAATATATAAATTCCTTCTGAGTTGAGGTGAAAATAATTTAAAAAAATTTACTGACAACAACAAATTAGCACTGTATATATATCTTGGCGAGTGTGTGAGAGAGATAGAGGCTTTACTGTGTACATTCCCGCATGCGCACTATCCCTGTCTCGCTCTGGCAGCTGCACATATTCCTACAATTCGGCAAGCGCGAGACAGAGTTCCGGCGGCAGCTGGTGGAGGACCGCGGGCTGGACGGCAGCGACTCGTACTTGGAGTACCTCATGGCCACGCACAAAAGTGTGCAGAAGCTCCTGTAGGTCCCTCGGTGGCGGCGGAGTGCGGTGGGGGGTGACGATGGTGGAGTGGAGGGAGGGACAGCGAGTACTGTTGGGGCTAATATATCCCATTTTTGTTACATTCCATCACATTATCATGATTTCCACCATTCATTGTCAGAATATTGTCTCTTCCTTTCATTTCACCACTCATATATACATCTCTCCTTCTGACGTAGAGAAGTTAAGAAGTATGGAGAATAAAAAATTTAAATCCGTGCATGAACTCACCGGGTTTCGTTTTTTTTCACCATAGAAACTACAGAGGTATGTCTGAGATGCTATACATCCTGCTTTATTTATATATACAACTAGCTTTTGCCCGCGACTTGGTCCGCGTGATCGGGCTATGTTCACTGACCGGAATAAAAAGTAGCCTATTACCATCTCCGCCCCATATAGTCATTAGTCATTTATTCAAAAAACCATGTACATTGTGTCTTAAATAAGGGATAATCATAGAAATAGACATTGAATTGACCACATTTATATGAAGACATTTACATTAAATTGAATATTACAACCATCCAATAATAACAATAATAAATATATGTAATCACGGACAGGACAGTTCTTGCGAACAAACCTGATATCGTGGTGATGGATCGGGCACTCTCGACGGTGTTTTTGGTGGATGTCACCATACCGCATGACGAGAACCTCGTGAAAGCCGAAACCGAGAAAAAGAGAATATATTTCGACCTGGCTCACGAGGTGACCGAAATGTGGGGGGTGACGTCCACCGATATCATTCCAATCGTTATGTCGGTGAACGGTCTTATCCCAACCAGTCTGGAACAACATCTCAGACGGTTGGGATTCCGAGCCAGCTTACTCCCGGGAAACATGCAGAAAGCGGTGCAATGTGGGGAGAATCTAAGATTCTGCCCACAACGCCGGTTTCTCTCCCTGGGGCCCTGAACCCCGGCCAACTGTTCTTCTGCCGGGGGTTAGTTTGCCATCTCCTTAAGAGGGGAGATGTGAATTTTCTAGAAATTTTAATATATGTACAATTAACAATGTCGACTTCATCCGTAATATAATATATATGTCAAATTTATAGTATTTTATAGTACGTGTGTGTATACACCAAATTTTATAGTCATTGGTGAAGCTGTTAAGGCGCTATAAATTTAATAAAGAATAAGTTTATATATTTGTTACTTATTTTAATGAATTTATTTTTTATTTTTGGTATATGTATTTGTTTTTTTATCTTTTTCCACGGTGCATCTATGTCATTTATGTAATGCAAATAAATTATCTATCTATCTATTTAAGTTTATATTAACACCCGTGTTTTCTCACTAAATGATTCTAGTGATTACACATAGTGATAATACTTCGTGTTTTCCAATACCAGACGTCTGTTAGTCTAGTAGGGGCCGGCGGCCGGCGGGGCGTTCACAATCAAACATAATACATATACTATATCAAGCGTTTTGTTACTAAAAATGTAAGGAATTCTCGGAGAATTGCGATTTTTTCGTGATCTGTGACAGTCACCACTATTGTTACCATGGTGATATTTTGGTTGTGGTATTGTGTTTATTGTGTGGTATTGTTCATGTTTATTCATAATAGAATGGATATTGATTCATATTGTTAATAATATACCTATTTACAAGTTGTTCTCATGACATTACGCTGTTTTTTGCATGCCATTTTTCGTCATAGTCGTAGAATACTGACGGATCTGACAAAGATACATATAAAGATCCGTCAGTATTCTACGACTATGACGTTTTGTATGGTGTTTGCTTTTATGCTTTTATCAATAATCCTATTTTTATATAATACTTTTATTATTTCTTTTATATCGATGTTACAACAAAATAACTGACTACCGACTGTTCACACATTCACATTTATAGAACACGATTGAACTTCAAATAGTTTTAAAGTAAAAAGAGTGCATTCCTGTTATTTGAGTCGTAACATCTGAATCCTCAGGAATGGCAACGCATGCGGACTATCATGGGCGAAACATTATACTCTGTTATGTCCATGGTACTGTTCATGTCTATAGGCGACAGTTGCCACTTACAATCAGGTGGGCCGTCAGCTTGTTTACCATTTTTTATTTGAGTTTCCTCTTGTCAGTGCAACTAATTCATGCATCTTCTTCCAGCCAGTTTTATCCCAGGTCATATCCTTGATCTCCCTATACGACATGACACCTAGTGTTTTTTTATCTGTCCCATGTAGTTATTCCTCGGTCTTCCTCTTCCTCTTTTGCCCTCTGTCGTATAAGGTGGCCCAGCATTTTGCCTCTTCTATTCTCTATTATTTTAATTAATGTTCTTTTCTCGTTCAATTTTTTCAGAACTTCCTCCTTTGTTAGTTTTTCTGTCCAGCTTATTCCTTTCCATTCTCCTCCATGTCCACATTTCGAATGCCTCAAGTATCTTTCTGAGTTGTATAAAACTATGGTCGTCATCGTCGTACACATTTCTGACGTGAGACAGCAATATGTTTTGTTTCTGTTTAGATGATATTTTGCATGAAGGCACGTCGCTTTGCGTAAAAAACACACTGGGTTAGACTTCCTGTGGGCTCAATTAAATTGATTGGCCATGGTAGGGTACTTTCCACGTTAGAGTCTTTTATACTCTGTGAAATGCCACGTCGAGTATTATGTTCACCACAACAGTAATAGTCGATGAATGCTTTTGCTACCCCATCAAAGATTATAACTTCAAGTCTATTTTTTTTTTTTTACTTTATTTATTATTATTATTTATTTATGTGCTTTTGTACATTTACTTACAGATCAAAGCTGTCCAAACCGTGACCCCGCGAATCTTTTCTTGTAAAAGATTAATTTAATGAAAAAGTAATATAATAACAAAACAATGTTAATATTTTGCGGCCCCCCAATGAATTTAGTAATTTTTATTGGCCCAGAACTTATCTATGTAGTTTGGACAGTCCTGATATTAGGTAATAACAAGAATGTATACAGGTGGACTTATCCCTCAAAGGGATTTCTTTTGGTCAACCTTGAGAACCTGAAATTAGAATGTGTCTATAGGATTTGTATATAAAGCATAATCTTATGTTATATAGATAGAATGTCTCCATACGAATGCTTCGAGAAAAGCGGGTCAACTTTTTTATACAATTTTGCGTGATTAATAGTTATGAGTGGTTCCTTTATAACTTCTATATTTATTTTGTCTTATAATTTCTGCATCTTTTTAATGCGTAAACACTCAATTTATTTATTAAATAATACGTCAAGATACATTGTATGCGTAAGTGTATAGAATAATGATTAAAAAAACGAGTCGGCCAATTTGACAATTAGCTGACAAAAAGTTGATCCGTTTTTGAGACTCGATGCCTCTATCTATATAAGAGCATAACATATATGGCCCAAAAATAATGTGATAAGTAATAATTCATTTATTAATATATATATTTTTAATTGTAACGTGAAATGATTTGTTTCAGCTAACGATAATGCGTCAACACGACAAGCTGGAGACGGTGCTGCGCCACTTCCTGGTGGAGGACCGCGGCGTGGACGGCAGCGCGTCCTACGTGGACTACCTGTGCCACGTACACAAGGAGGTGCGCGCGCTGCTATAGCACATGTACGCGCAGTGAACACAACACGCACGATCGCCGCCCGTCATATGATACGGATCGTGATAACGGATCGTCATTCACAGTTGCTCATAACTACTCACGCGGTCACGAATCGTGAAAAGTCAGGAATGCGTTCCAATTGTACGAATCGATCTGAACGGATCGTTATTTTTCACGATTCGGATTTTGTTCTATAGTTATATATCTCTATGTGTATTAAATCGTCATAGTCGTAGAATACTGACGGATCTGACAAAGATTACATATAAAGATCCGTCAGTATTCTACCACTATGACGATATAAGAATACAGTTCTTATACATACGTATGGATCTACTGATGTCAATCGTTATTTAGAAGTAGGTTCATTGATAACGAATCCTCAATGATCGATTTCACGAATCGTATTAACATCACAATTGGGTTTTGTTGTGAAACGTGAATGTCTATTGCTCGTAGACGTGTGTGAACGGGCCGTAAACGGACCATTCATTAAACATAAAGTTATTTATATCGTTTAAACGGAAACTCGTTAATAAATTAAGTTAATCTATAATGCAGTAACACCTTGTACAAGGCTGTTATAACAGGGGGTCTACCATGAAATAAATTTTCGAATTTTCGAACTCAATTTCGTGTTTTGTTCATACTGATTTGGTCCCAGTAAATGGATCTTAACATTTATTTTTAATTAATATCCTACCATAAAAGCCCAAAGGAACGATATTTTAATATTTCGTCATAGTCGTAGAATACTGACGGATCTGACAAATATTGCATATATAGATCCGTCAGTATTCTACGACTATGACGATTTTTAAACGGTATGTCTTGTGTAATTTTAACATCAAATTTATGTTTCGTCGGGCCCCGAAATATCGAAAATATTTCATGGTAATCTCTCAGGTCTATAGTGACGTCGTAACGACGTTACCTACCGTTGTATGGCGGTGATTAAATTTTTTAGAATACTATCTCTTTATAGAATGAAAATGTATAAAGTCCAATACAGACGTTATTATTATGCATTGTGTTGATATTTTTAATAAATGTATTTAAAAACAAAAATAGGAGTTTCGTTACATAACGTAAGGAAAGTCAAGTCAGCAACTAAACCAACGTCCAGTCTCTGCCAAGGACAGAGCAGACAACATTGTATCGCCCTTGTTTAATTCTTGACATTTTGATTCTTTTTTTCCAAAAATTTTATTTATTAATTCATAGCTATAAACGTTGCATAAACTTACAATGTTATAAATATATCTCGTGTTCTTCGCGGGTTCCTCTCAGCGGTAACAACATTCCGAACCATGCAATACAATACTAGAGGGGTTTTGCCAGTAGTTGCCATGGTAGGCAGGCGGATTGGCAACCGCAGTCAGGATTTAGAGATGTTTTAAGAGGGACGTTGCTGTTCATCCCTCGCCCTCCCTTAGTCGCCTCTTACGACACCCACGGGATAGGAAGGGGTGGCCTATTCTATGCCGGGAACTACGCGGGAATAATTTGTGTTCTATCATATTGAACGATTTGCACGTATGCGCCGTTCATAGTATTGAATTACTGATGTCTAATACAATGCAAGTCCAGCTTTAATCATCGACTCGCTCCTAATAATTGTGTATTTTATTTTAAAAGTATATTATTATTAAACTAGATATTATCGTTTTATATAATTGTTATTTTTAAATAGCCTCGACTACTATCGGTCGGGAGACATATTGTAGTAGTTTTTTATTTTTTAATTTGGCAACGAGCTAGTGTTGCCCGATATGCCACTTAACAACAGGCGGGAAACGGAACGGGAAATACAAGATAGTAAATAATTATTGAAACCACACATTTCTGTTAGTTTTTGTTTTGTTGTCAATCCTGTTGACTGACTTGAGTGGTGTCGAGATTCGGGACTTCCTTAGTAATAAAATCTAAATGAAACTTTAATCGCAAAGTTAATTACTAAGAACAAGAACTTATATAGAAGGAGTGATAAAATTGTCAATTCATAGCAGCCTAGTGTATAGAAAATGTTATACGGCCATATAACCCTACCAAATTCAGATACGTGCTTGCATATTGTCTACATAAACTGTATCCAATATATATTCTAGTAATGTAAAATTTGTCATTGACAAATAATTGACATATCAAACATTTTCTATACACTAGCCTGCTATGAATTGAGAAAAATAGCAACTGATGGTGTATCTTTCGTCCTCTTTTTACTAATTATATTTGCATAAGAAGAGAGGAGGCAACCATATGATTTAGTTTTTATTTTATCATTCCTTCTATGTAATTCCTTGTTCTTAATTATTATGAAATAGTAGTTTTAGTAGTTTATCTATTGTAAAAATGTACTGTAAAATTATTGCAATTAAAATATTCTTTTTATATTTCGGTTTAATTGATATTGTATAATGAATAGATATATAAATAGTGGCAGGTCGGTGGCCGTAAGTTTCTGTCGGTGTGCAGTCCGCGGTGTACTACACTGCATTGTACTGTACTGTACTGTACTGTACTGTACTGTACTGCACTATACTGTACTGTACTGTACTGCACTGTACTGTACTGTATGTATTGTTGTTTGTAAGGCTCGCCCGTATCAGAGTGTAAATAAATATATTACAATTACAATACACGCTTGTTGTTTCATTTCTAACTTAATATCTGTTTCAGTATATATAATGAACATATAACTACACGATATCTGTATATACATAGAAGATATTATATGAATCAATTATATTGGGTGTCTTAATTAAACCAATAAAGAATAAAACAATTTTTTTCTGTCTATCTGCCATCACGTCAAAGCCACTGTAGTAAATTGGATACAGTTTACACAGTTCCTGAAGGTTGAACTTAAATTCTCGTGAATCTTAATACGCTATTTACAAATGGCCTATTTCATTGGGCTTTCTATGTCCAATATCCACGTACATAGAGTCGTGGGCTAGTTGTAAATTCTTTGATAAGCGAATAACTCGACTCCCGAGTCCACATGGATATCATGGTCGAAATAGTATATGTACTCTGTTACATGTATAGTACTCTGTTATGTCTATAGGCGACGATTACCACTTTCCATCAGGTGGGTCGTCAGCTTGTTTGCCATTCTAAGTTGTATAAAAAAAAACTTGACAATGGCTAGATCAATTTTTTAACTATCATCATCATATGAGCCATTAACTGTCCACTGCTGGTCATAGACTTCCCCCATATGGAGGGTTTTTCCAATCGATAGGACAAGTTAGGCTCTTGGTAATGTTTTTGGAGAGACTCTGCTGCCCATTCCTCGATCATTAATTTCCCTTTGTCACTTACGACACCCACGGAAAGGAAAAAGAAGTGGTCCACTCTATGCCGGGACCATACGGCAATTTTTATTTATTGTTAGTCTAATTGAAGTTAGTGAAAGAAAACAATGTGTGCAGTAGATTCTACTGTTTAATATTGCCATGTAAGAGAAACAAAATTTAAAAAAAAAAATTGTTTATTGCATCGGAGATTATCGTAGATAAGAACGGTGCGCGGTGGCCGTCGGTCCTGGTATACGATGTCGTCGTGTAGCCGTAAGCATCGCATTGTAGCATTACTATTTCCATGTAAAATATAAAATGATGGATTCCTGTTTCCCTTAACAGTAATGCATCATTTTTTCTATAAAAAAAAATAGTTATAGGTATAGGTAGGCAATTTTCTCTAAAAAATAATTATTAAGTTAATTTAGGAAAGAATATTTTATCAATAAGTCTTTCATGTACTAAATGAATAAATAAATAATAATGAATAAATTAATGTGTCAAAGTGAATTTAGTAGATTTTGCTTCGTACAAGAAATCATCAGAGGGAGACTGTACAAAAGTCGTTTGTCACCTCTGTCCCATTCGTGTTTCTACCGTGAAGCAATTGTGTTTGCATGGCTATTCCGTTTTGAAGGATGGAATATAGCAGTGAATTTACAGGGTACAGAGGGATAACACCTGAGTCCTCAGGAATGGCAACGTATGGGGGATATCACGGGCGAAACAGTATACTCTGTTATGTCTATGGTACTGCTCATGTCTATAGGCGACGGTTATAGCTTTCCAACAGGGCCGTCAGCTTCGCGACAAAATTATTAAACAGTGACATAAACCGGGGGGGGGGGGGGAGGGATTGTTAATAAAGGAGAGGTTAGTCCCCATTACTATCAATATACCCCATCAGGTCGACCTCCACGCGGTTCCTTCTGGAAATCATCGTGACTAATTTATCGTTAAATTCGTCACGATGGGCTAACTGACCTGCCTTTTCATTCTCACCTATCATCTCTCACTGGTGCCTCGCTAGTGTATAACGATAGTGCAGGCGGGGTTACCATTTTATCATCATCCATTAAAAAAAAAGACAAACCGGGAGGGGGAAGGGAGGATTGTTAGTAATGGCAACTAGTAGCCCCATTGTTAGTAATATATCCTATTAGCTCGACATACACCTGGAAATCAGAAATAAAGGATCTTCCGATAGAGAAATTTAAATCAAAGTTATATCACTTTCTCTTAGAAAAATGCTATTATGCAGTTATTGAATATTTAAATGACAAAAAATGCAATAAAAGATGTAATGTATTAAACAATTACTTAAAATATAAACCATAATTTTATATGATAATTTGACATAAAGAATATTGTAATTTGGAAAATGTTTGGACTTCATAATTGTAATATAATGTAGACTAAATAGTTTAACATTTGCATACCACTGCGGGGTGCTGCATGTTTTTTTTTTTAATCGGTGATAATGGAATGGTAACCCCATCCGCGCTATTGGTTTACACCGAAGGGGCACCAGTGAGGGGTGATAGATGAGGATGCAGCAGGTCAGTTAGCGCATCGTGATGAATTCAACAAGAATTTTTCACGATGGTTTCCAGGGGGAACCGTGTGGAGGTCGACTTCATAGGGCATATTGCTAGCAATGTCGAACTCCATTGCTAACAGTCCTTTTCCCCCGGGTGCTGCATGTTATGTACCTGTATATGTAACTTGTTATTGTACCATGTAGCAAGCGAATAAATATGATTTGATTTGAATCATTGCGGTTAATTTTTGTTGTATTCACCACGACGGGTCAACATACGAGTACTTGCTTTCATCCATATCCCGCCACCGTATACCGGTAGCGTAAGCGGGGTTACCATTCCATTTTCACCCATAAAAAATGCTATAAAAACTATGATATTATACAATGTATTTACCTGTTTTGGATAAATGACCTCTATAATGGGTCCCTTGTAAGTGCAGGGCAGACAGTAGTCGGAACATCGACGCTGGCTTCTCTTGCACCCGAGCACTTCCATTACCCACGCGCATACGTGCAGAAACACCAGGAGGATTTCATAGAACATATCGAAGTTTATCGTTTATCCTGTCTTTGGCTGAAATGAAAATATTTATATCAGCGAGAGACTATAGAAATTGTGTTTCTCGTTTTCCGTTTACCATTCAATTTCCATAAAAATAGTTTCATTAAGTGATCTTTGCTACATTGCCAGATAGTTAAGAAAGTTTTTTACTAAAGGGTACTTCGTAGAAAATAATAAGTAAAGCTGCTCGTTATACTCCGCCTTAGATCACGTTCAAGTTAAAATTTTATTCTACGAAGCATCTCTTCTTTTGATTGGGATAGTGTTGTCAATCCGCTTGCCAAGCGTGGCAACTACTGACTAAACCCCCTAAGAGGGAGGCTTATGTCCAATAGTGGACAGTTAAGGGCTGATACGATAATGATAAATAACACATAATTCGATTATGTGCTGTTAAAATGCATTTACTCTAAAATTTAATGGAATAGGGAAACAACGACGATCCGCTCCTTTGATCTAATCTAGTCTAAGTTTAACATTACCTTTATGCGAGTACACTAACCTTGCTAATGTATATCCGTATCTTAGAAGATGAGTCCCTGCGTTGATTGGTGCAATTGAGTGAGCCGCACGGTCGGCACGTGCGCGTGCGCCGCTTGCAGCCATATGTAAGATCAAATAGGGAAATTGCGATGTGCAGGAACACAAGCACGAACTCGTTCAGGAACGCCATTTTAATCTTATGGGAATACCGCTGGGAGAAACTGAAAGGTTACTAAAGCATAAATACACATCAAAACGAGACGCATGTTCAGTTACTTAAATTCCAGCCAAACAGCATGTATACTAAATTCTGGTTTGAAGGACGTGATTTGGCAGTGAAATTACTAGATCCTAATTTTTTAAGATAACGGACCGCCCAACAAACACCTTTTATTTTATGGAACCCCATATTAAATGATTATAAATCAAAAAGACTGTTATTTAAATAAAAACAAAAGCTTTTATCAGAAATATAATGTGAAGAATGAAATTGTTTCAATGTATGAATAATTTTGCAGAACCCTGGTAACTGTATTACGGAACCCACTTTAGGAATAATACCCCTAATATATATATACATATACATATATATTATATGTGTATACATTATAATATTAGTACTAATATTATAATGAGAAAAGATTTCCATTTCATAAAGGTGGACAACGAGTGATCCGCTCTTTCAGTGCTGCAAACGTTCGTAAGTTATGAATGTGACGCACTTTTTTGTAATGGATGAAACTGGAATGGTACATTCACCTATGCTAACGTCAAACAATAACAGAGTACTAGTGAGGGTTGAATTGATGAGGATGAAGTTAGGTTAGTTAGCTCATCGTTGCAAATTCACAACAAATTAACCACAGTGGTTGCCCAACCTTGTAGCATATATAAAAATATATATATATACATATTAAAACACGGATAGCAATGTACATCAACAGGACTGCAGTTAGTATCTATTGTTTCATGATTTAAAAACATTGCCAAGTTATATGAAGTGCAATGTACCAACAAACCTTCGGTATAGTCCTCGCCTTTTGGTCACTACTTTTGGTCACACTTGGGAATGTTGTCGTGACAGGTGACGTAGTCGTGCCGCGTGCAGCCGAAGCAGCTCTCCAAGTAGGACAGCAACAGAGTTACCAATAATACCACCACCTCTTGTAAGAATTCTGTTTCCATTGCCAGTGGCAATCTGGACAAACAACAACGAGACATAACAAACCTCTAAAAATATTATCTCATGCAAATACCGCACGAATACTAGGTAGTTCTCAAACAATTCATTATCATTATATCAACTTTAACTGTCCACTACTGAACATAAGCCATCCCCCAACGAGAGGTGTTGCCAGTAGTTGCCACGCTTGGCATACAAATTGGCAACCGCAGTTAGGCTTTGACTTTTTTTTATATATAGCTTAGAATGACAAACAAGCTGACGGCCCACCTGATGGAAAGCGGTAACCGTCGCTTATAGACGTCAGCAATACCATGGACATAACAGAGTATACTGTTTCGCCCATGATACCCCCCATGAGTTGCCATTCTTGAGGACTCAGGTGTTATTCCTCTGTACCCTGTAAATTCACTCCATATCCCACCCTTTAAACTGAAACACAGCCATGAAAACAGAACTGCTTCACGGTTGAAACACGAATGGGACAGAGGTACTCAAGCAAACGACTTTTGTATAAAGTCTCCCTCTGGTTTAAGAGAGATGTTGCGGCCCATCCCTCGCCCTCCCTTAGTCGGTTCTTACGACACCCACGGGAAAGAATTATGTGTGCTTAAATATGTAAATATCTATTAACTGGCACCTACATTATGTTTGTTTACACGGCGGATTGTTAGAATCGCACGTGAGCTTCCTAGTGCGGCAGGCGGCGACCTGCAGCGTCCACGCGGCTACCAGCACCAATAGCAGTACCAGGCGGCGCCACCGTAACATCACACGACTCTTAAACAAAGTTGAATAATCGGTAAGCCCTTTTACAATGTATCGTAGTATGGCACTATCTTACTGTTACTATACCACCTATATGGAAACACATACTTTTCCATAATATCATGGCCGTACTCGTAAATACAAGCATCTATTTTTGAGTGCATATGTTTTCTCTCTTATTACATTGGGACAGTAAAATTTTACGGATACTGTGTCATGCTACGGTAAATTATAAAGACACCCAATTACAAACGGGGAATACATACTATTCAACTTATATGAACACTGAGGTTATGGAATGAGTTCCCTGCCAAGGTTTTTCCAAGAGACTGCAGCATGGGGTTCTTTAAAAGGAAGGTAAAGAGGTTTCTCCAGGATCGGCAACGGGCGCGTTGTTTTCCTGGTAATGCAGGCGTTCATAGGCTACGGTAATCGCTTATCAACAAATGAGCCGTTTGTTTGCCACCTCAGTGGTGGGCCGTATGCTTGTTTGCCACCTCAGTGGTAGAAAAAAAATGTTGCTTCAGCTCCAATTTGTGTGGCTTTATGATCTCATACACCGCGAAAAGATTTTGTTTCTAACATTTGCGCCTGAACAATTGTGCATGGCTGTAACATAAGAAACCCTTTGCTGTGAGAGTTTATCAACAGAAAAGTCAAATGTCTTCAACTTTACCCGAGTTACCAAAATGTTTGGAAAGATTTGGAGGTAAATATTGTAAAAACCCAGATAGTTCAAGATCCAGAGCTGTCAGACCTACGCCATTTTATTACTTTTATTAAGAAAGACGAATGAGCATCAGTTGAGTTGTGCATTAGTTTATCAAAACAGATACCAGGCAGTGATACATAAAATGGTGCCCCCCTACGTTATAGTATTATCTCGGGGCTTTAAATATATTTACTTTTACCAGACACTTTTCAAGCCTCATACATAATTGTTATTTAAGTGCATATAGAGGATTGCTCAGTCTAATTACTTACTAACAATCTTGAAGCTAATACAGCTTGTTGTATTTGTTTAGTATTTAACAGAAATTTTCATCCCTCCATCGGTCGCTCGCCTGCAAACGAAAAATTAACTTGAGTCTTTCCACCGCATAAAAAAAGATCGAACAAAACTACAAATGAAATAAAAATAGCTGCAATAAAAACTAATTACAATAAGTCACAGGTGGAATTTGACCCGAATCAATATTTCGTGCATTGTCTCGAAATGAAAACCTTTCTAATTGGCAACTTTTTATTTGAAAACTTTACAACATTTTGGATAAATATTTATTTAAGGTAGTCTAAAAAGAGAAATATGAAAATATACTTAAATTTTAATGTAAACATTATAACAAGTTTTAGATTCAGAAAAATACCTTTATAATTTTAACCTTAATTATTTCCCTAGCGCTGTATGATATATACTAGATGTAGTTGTAATTTGCACGAGTGTCAAGTTGCAGCTAGTTTCTGTAAGGCCCGCGGCGGCAGGGTGCGCGACCCGTGCACGGTATTTTCCGCTTGCAGCACGACGCGGCAGTAATAAATACAGTGAACAAGGCGAATATAATTGAGTACAGCCGGCTGATGTCAAATTTAGCCATCTTCTATTATCTGTAACAAATAGAATTTGAGATCAATTATTGATACCAAGGCGTTTGTGAAACTATGGTGAAAATATTTACTTCTTTAAATTTTTCTCTTAGTGATTCACGACTTCCCATGGAATAAACCGTGGGAATCGCACGTTTTTATTATACAAATATGCTTTTGATGTCGGTTTCTTTACTCTCAACAATATCTATAGGACAGTATATTATGAAAGTATAGTAAAATAAACTAATCTGGCAGTTTAAATACTAGTATTACCTACTATTTAACCGTGTGTACAGCATATGCCGCAGAACTTATTTTAGTTGCAAGATTATGAATGTAAGGACTCTACTGAGTTTTATTATCAAGAGTGATTACAAAAAAGACAGTAGAATCTAAAAAAAAATTAATTTTAAAAAGAGAACAATTCAAGTATTGTATATTTTTTTACGGTTCAACATTACATTATTAGTTGTAAACCAATACAAGAGCAAACAAAGCACTATTCACATCGTCATAATTTACTCGAAACAGTATACTCTGTTATGTCCATAGTACTGCTCATGTCTATAGGCGACGGTTACCACTTTCCATCAGGTAGGCCGTCAGCTTGTTTGCCATTCTAAGTTGTATAAAAAAAAACAGTCGAATTTCTTGTTAATTCTTCTTAGCTTAATTTTCTTGCTGAATTGGACAGCAAGGTTAAGAATAATCTGTACTCGTGAATGATAAAAAACATCCTAAATAGATAAATGATTCTGTGATTTCTATACATACAAAATATTTACTTTAATTCACTTGCTGCAAGGCGCTGGTGGTCTGCAGGCTATGTAAACTTTGCGAGTACAGCCGCTGACGTAGTTCAGGAGCAGTAGTAGTGCCGTCACCAGCAGCCAGAGGGCGCGCTGTCCCATCCTCTCAATGCTCTACTATAGTGCCGACCATCTTGCTTCGCTTCCTGAAATCAGACCTACCTAGCAACATGCAATGTGCTCATTGTAGACGACTGACGCCGGCTACATCTCAAATGCCTACTACATGACGATACTTATTGATTGGGGTCAAATTCCGTTTTTAAATATTTAAATTTTTAGAACTAACTTATTTATTTTGCGTTACCTTTGCAGTGTCCTGTATTGAATATTTAATTGATGTAAAATATTGCTTGAATTTTGTGGTTTGACGGAATGGATTTTTTGATTAATTTGCCAAATAGAATAGCGATTTTGAAATAGTTGTCATCATTCTATTAAGTTACAAGTCTTCTACATTTAAAACGAGGTTGTATTTATCCTGAAATCAGGTCCCGTTCGAAATAGGCAAGAAAAAGAGGTCATAAATAGGTGTAATAATATGTATGATATAGTTTTTTTTATTTTTTCTATAAAAAATAAACTAAGATGATATTTATTATTACTAAATAGCTACTTGCGTGACAGCTTGTGTTTCAGAATTCAAATATTTCTCTGCCTGTCCCGCAAAGGACTTGGCGTGAATATAGAGAGATAAAATTAAACTGTTGACTTTGAATAAGGAAGCGGGTGTAACAAATTTGAATTATAAGATTTACAGAATAACAAGAAATAATTATAATATTGATTACATTAAGAGCTTGTGTTTATTTATAAAAACGAGAGATTTGATTGGTTATTTTTTTTTGTAATGGATAGACTCAAAAATATTAAGCCAGTTTTAAAAATTCTTTCACCTACTGAAAGCTACATTATGAGCGAGTAATATAGGCTAAATATAATATGTAGGAAGAGAAAAACATATTACGCCGACCCCAAATAATAATTATGATAAGGGAAGCAAGATGATAGACTATATACGTATCATTCTTGAAAATTCAATCGACCAATGCGAAGCCGGGCCGGATCACTAGTTATAATTGTTATAAAACATTAAACAAACAAACATTTGACGGTACTTTGTAGTCCGTTACCCAGTTACCCAATGATTGTCTTGAAAAGATTGCTCTCAGCAATAAGACCGCCTTACTGTACTTATACAACTGTATCCCTATATTGTACATACATACATATCTGTCACGCCTGTCTCCCATTAGGGTAGGCAGAAATAATGGAACGCCAAATGCTTCGATATTGTATAATGAAAATATAGTATATTTATTAATTTAATCTTTAATTTTCAACCGAGTACATTTGCATCATCCAGAATAGTTCGTTTACGTACTCCGTTGTCATTCGTCGATGCTCAAAGGTCGTCATAAATTGATTTACTCCCAATTAACTTCGGCAAGAATGACTACATCTGTAGTGTTCAACAATAAATCCTCTTCAAAACGGTCCCATGTCTATTTCGAGTGATGCTCAGCACTTGTGCATCTCGTAAGACTGCCGTCATAAACGTAATACTGGTAACATTTTATATTATTGTTCATTGTATAACCGTAACGGTTACGAGGGAAAGCGGATATATAGATAGATAGATAGATTACCTACAAAAGATTACAATAGTAAACTTATTATAGATATAAACAATTACAAGAAATAATCACAATGAGAAAACAATGGGCGACCTTATAGCTAAAAGCGATCTCTTCCAGGCAACCTTTGGATGGAGAGAAATAAATTGTTGTTATAACATAAGTATATGATCATATTAATGTAATCATCATCATCATCATATCAGCTTTTAATTGTTCACTGCTGAACATAAGCTTCCCCCTAAGGGGGTTTTGCCAATAGTTACCATACTTGGCGAGCGGATTGGCATATATATATATATATATATATATATATATATATATATATATATATATATATATATATATATATATATATATATATATTATATAATTTGCGTGTCAATATAGATACGTCTGTAACCAGAGGGACACTTTGTACAAAAGTTGTTTGCTTGGCCACCTCTGTCCCATTTGTGTTTTTACCGTGAAGCAGTTGTGTTAACATGGCTGTGCTACGGTTTGAAGGGTGGGATATGGCAGTGAATTTATTGGCTACAAAGGGTTTATACCTTAGTCCTCAGGAATGGCAACGCATGGAGATATCATGGGTGAAACAGTACACTCTGTTATGTCCATGGTACTGTTCATGTCTATAGACGACGATAACCGACTAAACAGATACATTATCCTCGACACCCTATAACTAGAACATTTAGCTTACCACGCTGCAGAACAAACCTAGGACTGCATCAACCTCTGGCCAGGATTAGTGCGTCATACAATGAAATTAATGCCAAATTACCTGAAATTGATATAGTGTACGATAATTCGAATTCCTACAGGAATAAATTGCTGAAGCACTTTGTACAACAATCTTATGAACATTAACTCTAATTGTCATAATATATATTTTTTTAATATTTTTTTTTTAATTTAATTTACTCATAATCTTATTTTCTAATATTGCTCACAACTTAGATTACATGTTTATTTTTGTTATTTACTTAATTTTCTTACACTGTATAATTATGTTAAAGTGAATGCTGTGAATACCTATAATAGGCATGTGCATTAATATTGTATTGTATTTAATGTTGTTATACCTATATGTTATAATGCAATATGCTGTTGGTGTTCCTTAAATAAATAAATAAATAAATAAAATTATACTTGTTAGCTTTGGCTTATCTCATGCGTGTTATTTCTCGGAAGCCTGTGATTGTGGACTGCAATCACAGACCATGTCTGTCTTCCCATCTCGTCCTGTGTCCTTCAATTTTCACGAAGGAGGACCCGAACGAGGGGTTCAATTGTTCTGTGGCAGTAGCTAACACATACAAACATATCTGTCACGCCTGAGAAGTCGCTAAGTTCTGGGTTAATTGTATTAAAGCTGTCTATTGACTTGAAAAAAGAAGAAGACGCTATGGCTACATGTCTCTACTTGAAGGAATTAGAATAAAAAATATCTAACTGTGCATTGATTTTTTCCAAACTGTTCAGAGCACCAAGTGTGAGATACAACTCACGTAACTAAAAGAAAAGCTTTATAAAAATTAATAGATTTATATTACGATCGTGTTTACGTTTACGACAAAAAGTTTTTTCGGAATTCTGATATTTGAAAATTATCCATTAGAGGCGCAGCTAAGTTTATAATATTATAAACTGGCGACGTAAATATACGTGTATGCAATAGTAATACAAATCTTCATACAATTCGCACTAAACACTACGCTATTTAATGATTTATGGGATCCATTTGATAGTGTATGGGACATACAGAAAGTTCGATTAATCTAAAGTGTTATGGTTAATGTTTCTTTTTATTAAATCTTTTCAAAGAACTATTCACAAGCTTCTATACAAAGTTTCACGCGTCCACATCAATTTCCGGAATACTTTTTCCGCTTCGCCTCGACCACATCTTCAACGGCTGCAGTGAATGCCGATAGCGTATTTTCCAGGAAGTAAAATTGAAAGTAAAAGTTGACTAACGGCATCAATAGAAGCAGCACACCCACTTGACTGTTTTTAAATACAAATGTCTTTATTTTGAAAGTAATTTGGTGACGAAAAAATTAATATAAAACAAACACAAATCAATTTTGGAAATATTAGAAAGAAATCGATTTAGAATTAGTTAAGATATTGCATACCATGAAACGGACAAACAGGAAAATGAAGAAGATATAAATTTGCACGCCTTGTATGGTAGAATCATCATCATATCAGCCTTTAACTGTCCACTACTGAACAGAAGCCTCCCCCTTGGAGGGGTTTTGCCAGTAATTATCACGTTTGGCCGACGGGTTGACAACCGCAGTAAGGCTTTGGAGATGTTTTAAGAGGGACACTGCTGCCCATGTATAGTAGGATATATAGGAGTAATTAACAAATAAATACCACTTGTAAAATCCATATTTGAGCAAAGAAAAAACCATAATTTTTATTTTTTGTGAAGAATTCCCACGGTTCAAAATCGGGGCTGTACAAATTTAATCTAAAAGTTTAATACAAAATTCAATGTAGGAAAAATCTATGGATAATAGAATGATAAATCTATTTATCAATCTTCATGTCTCTCATGAGGTATGTGCTAAGAACTGTAACACTTTGTAAACCGGCTGGCTTTTGGGCATTATTTACATATACGTCTTGCTTCAGACATTTTCGTATTATGGATGCACGTCTCTTCTACTCTTGGTTCCTTCCTCAGAGAGCATACAGTCTGTCTGATCGTAATAGTGAAGTAGTGTATATAAAAGCATCGTCTGTAAGTATACACGTACATATTTACGCGAATGTAGTTCCGGGTGTGCAGCTTTAATTAATGTTTGTATTGATATCTAGCAAAGTTCACATCAATAGCGCGCCACCGCGAGCCACGCGCGCGCGCCGCCACGCGCCCGTTTATTTTTAACGAAAACTTCCGATCGACGAACGATTCACATTCTAAATTAATCACATTTCTTTAACAAAATAATTTTGAAAACAAACAAAATAATAGACGACAATTCTATAAATCAGCGATGAATGTGGAACGGTAGTGAGTTAGTGCTGTGGCATGCGCGGCATGGATGATGCGGTCTTGGAGTTTCACAAAGGTGAGTGTGTCTGCATATTTTTGTCAAATCCGTGAATCAGATGCTCTCAACTGTCCACCTAATTGCTTCATCGAGCCTTATTTCTTCACGATCCCTGATAGAGTTCAGGCGGTTTCGGTTTTTGACTATTTACCTAATAGTGTATGAACTAAACAGTGCAAGAAAAAAACATTTGAGTGTGGACAACTGTGTAATTTTTTAAAATTTGTTGTAATAGATTGCAAGACAAGTAAGTTAAAGTTATTATTTATTTTAGTATTTCTAATTTATGGTGTTTTCATTTATCTTTTTAAATAGATCAAGTGTTTACAATTAAATGTGTGCGTAGTAAAATAGCGTGCAAAAAAAATGAACAAAAAAACATTCTAAGTAGATTATTCTGTAAATTTTAATGAAAATTCTGTGAAATACAGATAGCCAGTTTGAGAGACGCGTTTGAATAAATTCCAATGTTATGATTGAAATTTCAATAATCTAAACTAAATATCTAAGTAAATGATAATTGTTGAAATATGACTTGGGTTTCCAATTGGATATTTCCTTTTAAAAAATATTTTATTTTAATCAATGAAATTACTTCATTAATTTGACATTGTGTGGATAACCCCTATAGCGCGGAGGGGAAGGGATTGTTAGTGATGGGGCGGTTGGTCCCATTGCTGTCAATATACCCTATCGGGTCGACCTCCGCGTAGTTCCCCCTGGAAACTATCATGACTAATTTATCGTTGCATTCGTCACAATGGGCTGACTGACCTGCTTTTATATCCTCACTTATCAACTTTCAGTGGTGTCCCGCCAGTGTATACCAATAACATAGACGGGGTTACCATGCCATTTTCATCCATTCTATCGGCATACACTAGCGGGATACCAGTGAGCTGGTATATATATATATATATATATATATATACTCGTATATATATTATACAACTTAGAATGGCAAACAAGCTGACCGCCCACCTGATGGTAGTGTTTAAAGAGGGGCGCTGCTGCCCATACCTCGAACTTTTAAATTTCCTCTGTCGTTTGAGTCGCCTCTTACGACACTCGTGGGAAAGGGTGGCCCATTCCATGCCGGGACCACACTTCGAAATAGTCTTCATATATTTAGTTTAAACTGATCATTTATCGTCTATAATATATACTCGTATTATTATATATGTCGGGGTCGTTATGAAAGCAAACACTGACCGGAATAGATTTATTACTCTTCCTTAATTAATTGCGGTGACGCAGTGTATACATACATACATACGTACATACGAGTACATACACGTAGCCGAGTGGAAAGCCACGGATATATTTAATGCTTTCATAATACATATATAATCGAACAGGTCGTTGGCACGCGGTTGTCTTTTTGGTCACTTTCTCTATCTCTAAATATACTCAAATACTTTTTCTTTTGACGTAAAAGGGGTGGGGGTTTTGGGCTATGATTATTTTAGAATAAAACTAAAATAACTTATTGTACATACGGTACATTTTTATTATTAATGCACTTAACAATTTTCCCTCTACCGTCCTGTCCAGTATGCAGGTGCAGCTGCAAAAAAAAACTCTACTGTTGCTTTTTTGTATTATTAAAAAAGTAATATAATAGGTAAATAAATAAGTTATTTGTTTATTCAATGCAGTGTGATAGATGTGCTTGTTTTTAGTGCAAATAACATCGGTTCTTAGAGTAATTTTGCTCAATTCCAATCATAATTAACCCGCCACTGGTGACGTCCGTTCGAGTTACGTCATTAGTGACGCCGGTCTCACGCACCGGGATTCTCAACTTAATTTTTTTCAAGAATTAACTATTAACTGTACTCGTAGTTGACTTAGTGTTAAAAGTAGGTATACTTTGGACAATAAAACACAGGTATATCTTAAATCACAGATCATTTATTAGAAATTATTCATTGGTACTTGGAACACTTAAAATTATCAAGTTTTAATATTACTTTTCTAAAATACAAAAACATAAACAATCTTATAGTTTTAAAATTATGTAGCAGCCTCAGCCAGTCTTATGACATTTTGAACTATTATAAAATTGAATAAAAAAGTTAATTTTTTAATAAAAAATAAAAGAAATATCTTTACAAATTCACTCTTCGTCACCAGTCAAACAATTACTACAAGAAGGCACCACGTGCTCGAGACACAAATATTTTTTACATTTATGACAAGTGTACTTGGTTTTTCTGTTTTTCTGCCATCCACACTTATAACACCGACCATTTCTTGAACGACCTGCCGTCTCGGTAACCTCGTCGATCTTCAAAATTTCGGAGAGTCGTTGTCTCAACGAACGCGGCAAATTCAACTGTGTCTGTCTTTCTCTTATATGAGGCTCAATTAGTTTCATGGCCAAATTTTCTATAAAATGCCGGCGTAGAGATTTTGAATTTGAGTTATTAGCTATATATATAACCTGACTATTTATGGTACTGACATTCAACATAGCGTAAAATACTACCATAGACCAACGTCTTGTGGCACGGGCACAATCGTAATTTGCACATAAACGATCTACGACATCGACCCCGCCCTTGGTGTCATTGTAGCTTAAAATTATATCGGGTTTTCCTGTTTCGACATCAGTTTTGGCATCATTGTGCATAGTGCTAATCAGTAAAACATTTTTGCCTTTCTTTGGAATGTGTGAAACCAACACCATATTGTCGCGAAAGCCAAACATATTGGACTTCACACTTCTACCACGCAATACATTGAAGTCAGGGGGAATCTCCTTTTTGTTCTTTCTAATTGTTCCTACTGTCGTAAGACCTCTCTGAAGCAACATTTCAGCCAAAGGTACACTAGTGTACCAATTTTCAGTTATGACGTTGCGACCAGTATTGAAAATCGGTTCGCTTAATCTTTGAACAACTGCTAAGCCACTATTGTCACAAACTAAACCTTCATTGGGCTGTTTTCCCGGATAAATTTCCATGTTAAATGTGTAAAACACTTTAGAGTCGCAGAGAGCTTGAATTTTGATTCCGTAGGGATTGGGTTTATTCGGGATGTACTGCCTAAACGAACACTTCCCACGAAACGATTCCATTTTTTCATCGACCGTCACAAATGCAGATAAGGTGTAATTATTTTTGCAATTTTGGACAAATTTTTCAAATACTTCTCTAATATGACAAATTTTGTCTATTGCTTTTCTTTGTTGCCTCGTACTACCATCATCAAATCTCAATACTCGCAGCAGAAATTGAAATCTCTGGGCAGATATAGAAAGCCGAAATATTTCAACCGAACCACCATCCGTCCGAAACAACTCTTCAACATTCAGATGATTAGATTTTTGTACTCCAGCTAATAGTATCAATCCCATCAAGCACTGTATCTCGTTGAGATTAGTCTGCCTAGCATACGTTTCTCTGGTATATTTATGTCGAATGGTGTCAATGTACTGGTTCGTATACTTGACAATGATATCAATTATGGTGTCGTCAAAGAAGTGCCTCCAAATACTCAGAGGTTCATTTTACCTGCAATAACCCGTTTGGGTTCTGGTAACTGAGATATAATATTGTATTTTCTAGTACGGACTGATTGACGATAGGGTTCTTTATTCCACCTAGTAGATTTGTCTTTTCCCAAATAATATGAGTTGTCGTTACTTGAAGATTCTCGATCGCTTAGATCCTCTTCGCTCTCCGAGTTTTGTATTTGATCTGGTGCGGAATATTCCGATGCGCCATCATTTCCAGCTTCGCTGTCTGACGACGATGGTGATCCATCATCTTCACCTAACAATTCTTCCTGTAATAGAGCCTCGAGACGTCTCTGTTCGCGTTCGTAATTCATTCTGAAACTAAATTTATGATTTGATAAACAAATGCATATGTATTTTTGCTACAAAAAAAAACCGTTTTAAAAACTTACTAATTATAGTATAATACTATAACAGTACAAAATGTACTACACATTCATCAAATATACAGTGAAAGTAAGCACAGAGCGTCATCAAAATGTGTAAAATCAAATATTCAAATATGTCGTTTTAACTTACATGTTCGGTGACGCCGGTCTCACGGACCGGGATAGTATGAAAACTCGAGACGTATGCCCGCTACAACGTCGCGGGGCGAACTGACAGCAGAGGGCGTGCAATAAAGCAGCTACTCAAAATCACGACAAAATTCAATGGCGGTTGTAAACGTTATTATCATATGACTAACTACCCGGTCTCACAGACATATACGTCACCAGTGGCGGGTTAATATTTCAGATTCTTTCTTCTTTCTTTCTTTTATTAAGCATTTAATCAAATTCATATTCAAATAGACTTTTTTACAAGCACTTTTAAATCGTCATTTTTTTTAACCTACTGTAATCGATACCTGTATTCTGTAGTCTTTAAGAAAATTCACTCTCACATAGGTAAGTCATTATGATAATGCTTACGGATATGGTGGCTTTATTTGTTAGTTGTTAAGCATTTAATAATAGTTGCAAGCTGTATATATATATATATATATATATATATATATATATATATATATATATATATATATATATATATATATATATATATATATACATACGTACTTATTGTTATACATGTATCAATATATGCTGTTTACCTATAAAAAATTGTTACACTTTGTTCTAAGCTCCATAATTGTATATATATTTACATTATTTTGTGGAGACAATTGTTGGTGAACCTAAATAAATAAATAATTTTATAGCGTATCCTCTACGTATTCTCTACTAATTACGTAATGTACCCCAAATGATATACGTACCTCACTTGGAGAAACCCTACTCTAGTCTAATATCCCCCTAAGAGATAAGAGAAGTTATCACCTCGGAATAACAATCACTCAGCAGTCCGCTCGCTGTCAACGCTGCAATCTCCATTATTAACTTGCGTCCGATTGAAGGTTCAGATATGGCAAAATAAACTTTATCTCTAGTTCGTAAAGTAGAAAATAGAATACATATTTGTATGCACACTAGACAAAAAAGAAACTAAAAATAAATCGACTCGTGTAAAGCGGAACAAGTAATGTTGGCTAATAATTCGATTTATCGATCTTAAATTAATCGATACTGAGCACGTGCAATATTTTGAATGATAACTTACTTTATTTGCTCGAATACATTAGAAGACTCTGCATTCAACCGTGTGGCGTGCAAATATTTCTTTTTTTTTTTAATATTATTTTAAGAGATTTTACCTTCTTCAGGTATAACAGTCCTATTGTACCCTGAACTGATTTCTCAAACAAAACTTTATCTACTTTCCCTAGACGCGGAAAGAGAAGAATTAATGGATTTGGAATTAGTTCCTAAAATTTTGCAATTAGTCTTCAAGTGAATAAAAACATTCCTCAATAAGGCAATTGTAAAGTTTTTCATTGAGTTTTTCGTCTGTCATATCTCTGTATTCTGTCGGTAATTTATTATATATTTTAACGGTCATGTAGTAACAATTCTTGTTGTATAATACTTTGACAGGTCTGCCGCTACTGTCGATCTTATCTATTGTATCGGTATGAACTATGGTTTACCCAATTTTGTTTTTTTTTTAAATGGATGATAATGGAATAGGCTATAATATACACTGGCGGGGCACCAGTGAGGGATGATAGGTGAGAATGAAAAAGCAGGTTTTTTTAATGGATGATAAAAAACTTTGACAAACGTGGACTTAATAGGGTGTATTGTTAGTAATGGGTTAGTTAGACCCCATTACTAACAATTCCTTTCCCCCTAGGTAGGTCAGTTAGTCCATTGTGATGAATACACTTGGAATTCAGCGTGATGGTTTCCAAGAGGAACACGTGGAGGTCGACCTGACAGGGTATTAATTACAGTAATTAATTACATTATATTTAATCGTACAAATACACATATACATATATATACATACACACACACAGATATATATATATATATATATATATATATATATATATATATATATATATATATAATAACTTCATAAAACAATATTGATTTAAATTAATAAATAGTCATTAAAAGTAGAATAGAACAGGAGAATAATTATATTTTTCACATACTTGTATATAATATATATATATATATATATATATATATATATATATATATATATATATATATATATATATATATATATATATATATAAAATTTTGTATATAATTAATATATATCATTAATTAATAACAAAGATAATTTGTATACGAAATAAAATAAAAAGGTAAAATAATTACAATAGTTACAATTGCAGTACACTTCACAATAATACAATGTTCTAGTCCATGGATTTATGTCATTTAATTTATTTTAAGTAGTCAATATAATCTATATTGTTTATTAGTCGATTATAATGTATTATCGATTATAAATCGATTAATAATTCGATAAACAACGATGATTTGACAGCACTATAAACAACATAATCGGTGATGATACGCATCGACACCTTGTTACGTTGTCGTTGAGTGGTGTAAGCGAGTTCAGAGCGACGGTCCTCAGGTTCGGTGCCAACATCTATGGCTGGATATTATTTTATTGATTTGCCTAATTCTGAAATCCACGCGTGCGAAGTAGCGGGCAAAAAGTTAGTTAAAAATAATTAAAAACGATACATTAAAATACGAGATTTGTTGTATTTATTATAATTTAGTATTAAAACAAAATGAAGCGTGCTAGGTTTGATTTTTACCATCCAAAAAATTTATTTCTTTACTGTATATTTATCGACAGAAACAGTTTATCACCTAAAATTGAGATTACAAGAGAATTTTCTAATATTTTATTAAAAATAAACGACTCTGTGTCAATGCAGACGGCTTTATACTCGCATTTACGTCGAATGTTTGTTGATTAATAATTTTATTAGCGCTGCAACAGTGTCAGCGGATAAAATGTACCATCCAGTGTCGCGCTCGATGACGGACACATCGGCGCTCTCTCGAAATTGAAAATTTTTTATTTCCGGATGAATTTTACTATTCGCATTAATAAATATTATTCTTTTCTTTAGTCGCGTATATTAAAATAAAAAAGTATCATTATATGTTAACTTTGTACTTACCAGATACCCAGATAGATGTAATTCATCTATCTGGGGGGAAAGGGATTGTTAGTAATGGAACTAGAGGCCTCATTGCTAACAATATACCTTATCAGGTCGATCTCCACGCGGTTACCCCTGGAAACCATCTTGTGTTTTTTTATGAATTCATCACTATGGGCCAACTGACCTGCTTTTATCCTCAGTCAATATATTATTATTATAATAAAATAATTCGTAATATAATAATATTATGACTCTATCTACATGGGTGCAAATGTGAATATGTACCAAACATATTTTATTTCTTTCTTTCTTTCGATCAATTTATTCCCGCGCCGGTTATCTACTTATTTTGTTAAGATTCAAGTGTAGTGATGTCTACATAGTATAAAACAAGATCGAATCCCACCGTCTGTATATTTAGATCTTTTAAACTGCGCAACGGATTTTATTGTGGTTTTCATGAACAGACAGAGTGATTCAAGAGAAAAAACTATGAGAATAGAGTTTAATATTGTTTTGTATTCATTTGTTGGCATTTAACAATAATTATTCAAAATATCTTTCTAATCCGTTTAAGATATAACAAAACAATGTATGGTGGGATTGTTTATCTTTAATAGGTTTACAAAAAATTCGGCAATAGCATAGGACTATTTTTTATGTTAGCTTAGCATATAGGCCCCATATATATCCATGTGAAGCTGGAGCAGGCTGCTAGTTAAACGGTTTTATTTAGCTCGACCTGTACGGTATTTATTTATTTGGGTCAAAATTAGAAATTGGAATTTAAGCACCTTCCCGTTGTCAGATTGATCTGAAATTTGGTACACACATTTAATTTAGATGACAATACAATATAATAAAATCAATAACATTATAAATCTAAGATGGCCGCCGATACAAAATGGCGGATTACATATTTTTCCTTAACCCCCGCAATATGGGTATCAAATGAAAGGGCTACACTAGTAAAACACGATGATTATGTCAAAATTTAAAATTCAAGATGGACGCCGTTCCAATATGGCGGACTAGGTACATATTTTTCCACAACCACCACAATATGGGTATCAAATAATAGGACACACTGAGACACCCAGACACTAGACACTCGGACACTAGACACTCAGACGCTAGACCCTCAGACACTAGACACTCAGACACTCAGACCCTAGACACACAGACACTAGACACTCGGATACAAGACACTCAGACACTAGACACTCGGACACTAGACACTCAGACACTAGACACTCGACACTCGACACTCAGACACTAAACACCAGACATAAGACACTCAGACATTCGACACTCAGACACTAGACACTAGACACTCGTCACTAGACACTCGACACTCGACACTCGACACTCGACACTCGACACTCAGACACTAAACACTAGACACTAGACACTAGACACTCAGACACTCGACACTCAGACACTAGACACTCGACACTCGACACTCAGATACTAAACACTAGACACTAGACACTCAGACATCCAGACACTAGACACTCAGACACTGGACACTCGGATACAAGACACTCAGACACTAGACTCTCAGACACTTGACACTCAGACACCCAGACACTAAACACTCAGACACTAGATACTCAGACACTAGACACTCGAAACTCGACACTCGACACTCGACACTCGACACTCGACACTCGACACTCGACACTCGACACTCGACACCCGACACTCGACACTCGACACTCGACACTCGACACTCGACACTAAACACTAGACAGTAGACACTAGACACTCAGACACTCGACACTCAGACACTAGACACTCGACACTCGACACTCGATACTCAAATACTAAACACTAGACACTAGACACTCCGACTCTCGGATATAAGACACTCAGACACTAGATTCTCAGACACTTGACACTCAGACACCCAGACACTAGACCCTCAGACACTAGACACTCAGACACTCAGACCCTAGACACACAGACACTAGACACTCGGATACAAGACACTCAGACACTAGACACTCGGACACTAGACACTCAGACACTAGACACTCGACACTCGACACTCGACACTCAGACACTAAACACCAGACATAAGACACTCAGACATTCGACACTCAGACACTAGACACTAGACACTCGTCAC